AGACATTCCACTCAGGCGGAGAGTAAACTCATAAACTCATTCTTCCTCTGCCCTTTTCGGTTGTATCTGGGCCATCAGCAGATTAGACAATGCCTGCCTCAGTGAGGATGCTCTTCCTTACTCAGTTTCTGGAACCAGAGGCTCATCTCTTGCAGGGACGCTCTCACAGACACGTGCAGAAGTAATGTTTAGGGAGCCTCAGTCCGGTCAAGCTGGCACCTGCCATATACACGGCATATTCGTACACAACGTTTTGTCTCCCCACCTGCCCGCTGCTGTGCCTTTGCGTTGTTTCTACCTTTTACGTGTTGTGGTGACGCCGCACGAGCGCGGCTGCGCGGTGTCTGGTCGGGACTCCGCTCTTCAGTTCTTTTAGGTACAGACTTGGAATCGCAACTGCTGGGCCATGCGGCCGTTCCATGCCTGCTCTCTGGAGGGTTGCCCCGGCTGTTTCCCACGGCAGGCATAGCGTCCACACTCCCACCAGCTGTGCGCGGGGGCCCGATTTCTCCACATCTGCCCTGACACTTGTTTTCTGTTTATTTGATTGTGGCCATAACGGGTGTGAAATGATAGATGATTGCGCTTTTGACTTGCATTTTCCCAACGATCTGTGATGTTGAGCATCTTTTCATGTGTTTCTTTGCCACGTGTGTATCTTTTTTGGTAAAATATTCAAGTCCTTCGCTCACTTCTGAATTGGGTTGTTTATTTTGTTGTGAGCTGTAGGAATTCTTTACATATTCTAGATATGAATTGCTTATCGGGATGCCTGGGTGGCTCTGGCTCCCGTTGTCCCAGCGTTGGCCCCTGAGAGCGCTGTCAGGCGGCTGGGTTTACTTTGATGACATTACTTGCTGCTTTTCTTAGGCTTCTGTCTTCTTTCTGGTGTTCTGTTGGTTCATTACATTTTCTTGATTCTTTCATTCCTGCACAGATATGGAAGTTGTACAACCCCTTTCTGGTACTTTAGTGGTTGCCTTAAAGCTTTGCACAGACTTTGATCTCCGTCAGCAGCTCTGGCTGTCCCTGAGCTCTGCGGGGACCTCACGCCTGCGCGCCATCCCATCTGCTGCAGTCGCTAGTCTAGAGCTGCGGTTTGCTTTACCCCTTGTCCAGGCTGGGCTCGAGCAGACCCTGAAACAAAGACTCACGACTAGGACATGGAATTTTTCTTGGGATTGTAGGAGGTAAGATGTTGAGGGTGGGAAGGGGGTATTCCTGGGGCTGAGCAGGTGACACTGCGGACAACGGACGGGGCTCAGCACACTGGGACCCTGACCGTGTCGCGGGGGCAGCGCCGTTGCTGGTGGGCGAGGAGGCCGCTGTGGGCACCACACAGAGTGTGGGTCTCAGACCGTGGCCTGCCCTGCGCTGGTTTAGGACATCTCAGGCGGAAGCTGCCGGAAGAGGGGCAGCCATGCGAACCACTGGTATGGGTAGAGTCTCCCGCCTCCCACGGCTCCCCTCAAAGGAGCTGCTGGGGCTGCCTGTGCTCCCCCAGCTCCTGCCAGCTCAGCCCATAGGTCTGTTCAACCTTCGCTGGCCTTGAGCTGTCACGCCCAGCTGGGTTATGCTGTCACTTACCCCTGGTTGTCAGGCCTAGTGGCTAGGAGGGAGGTGGAGGTCCTGACGGGGACAGTGTTGTCCGGGGGTGGGGTGGGGTGAGGAGGCCTCAGAAGTCTATTTCCGCTGAGGTTGGGGGTGCGGCTCTTCCCAGGGAGAGGTGAGCTAACCCTGCGGGTGCCGAAGGTTTAGACGGGTCTGGGTCTTAGAACTGAGGGGGACAGCCCCCTGATGGCAAGGTCATAGCTTTCCCTAGCAGGGGCCTGCCAGCAGGTCAGATGCTGGAGCTGCCGCCTGATCTCTGGTCCTCCTCCTGCCCAGTCCAGGATGGTGACCACTGCAGCAGGTGAACCCCCAAGAAGGAGTGTGTACCTGTCCCCAGTGGTGCCCTGTTGCAGCCGGCCGGTGAGGAATCCATCTCTAATACTCCTTTCAGTTGTACCTTGGGTCCTACGGAAGCTGACCCCGAGATGGAGTTTGGGTACAAGCTGTGTGCAAGGGGTCAACCCCAGAGACAGGGTGGGGGGCAGGATCAGGCAGAGGGAAGGCCAGCTGTGCTGCCCGAAGCTTCAGGCCAGCCACGGGACTCAGGCCGCGTGAAATTACCCCTTCAGAAGTTCTACCTGGGGCCACAGCGGCGGGTGAGCTGGGTCTGCACCTGAGGCTGCCCGGAAGGGTGGAGGCCTTGTGCTGGCGTCTCGCTGGGGACTCCCAGTGCCAGTGTCTATGGGTTTCCACTCTCTTCCAGGGAGGAGTCCCTGGGGAGGCCCTTGCTGGTAGGGAGGGGCTGGGATCGCTTTGTTGCCCACGCAGCCTTTCACTACACCCTGGCCTGTGTTTCCACTCTGAGTTCAGCTGCTCTCTGCGGGGGCCCACGCCTCCTTCCAGACCCGCCACAGGAAGTTCTATGTGCCCTGCAGTTGGGAGGGTGGTCCCGGGGCCCAGACATGGATGCCCAGGTTCTTGGACTGTAGCGCCTTTAGTGGCCTCTGTGTCCGTCAGAATCTCCAGGAAAACGGGCCAACGGGAGTGAGAGGGAGAGAGAGAGTGAGGGAAAGAGGTTGATTTATTTTAAGGCATTGGCTCCCTTTGTGGCGATTGTGGGGCTGGTGAGTTCAGAGGGCTGAGACCCAGGGAGGAGCTGATGTTCCAGTTCGATCCCAGTGGCCCTCTGAAGCCGAATTCCCTCCTCCTCTGGGGAGCTTACTTTTTTCCTCTCAAGGTCTTCAACTGATTGGGCGAGGCCCACCCACATTGTGAGAGTCATTTGCTAAATGCAAAGTCTGCTGATTTAAATGTTAATCTCATCAGGGGCGCTTGGGTGGCTCAGTCGGTTAAGTGGCTGCCCAGGGCATGATCCTGGGGTCCTGGAATCAAGACCTGCATTGGAATCCCTGCTCCTTGGGGAGCCTGCTTCTTCCTCTCCCCCTGCCTGCCACTCCTCCTGCTTGTGCTCTCTCTCTGTGTGTCAAATATATAATAAAATATTTTTAAAGAATAAATGAATGTTAATCACATCTAAAACCTTCATGCAGACTACATTCAGTGCAGCATTAATCACAGTAACAAAGAAGTGACAGCGACCTGACTTTCCACCGACAAGCAAGCAGATAAACAAACTGTGGTCATCCCGCCCAGGGGCATATTTATTCTACCTTAAAAAGGAGGAGTGCTTGGGCACCTGGGGGGCTCTGTCAGTTAGGCATCTGACTCTTGATTTCAGCTCAGGTCACGATCTCAGGGTTGTGAGATCGAGCCTTATGTAGGGCTCTGCACTGGGCAGGGAGCCTGCTTAAGATGCTTTCTCTCCTGCTTCCTCTGCCCCTCCCCCCCTAAAAAAATAGGAGGAAGTGCTGACACCTGCTAGAGCATAGAGGGACCTTGGGAACATCATGTTCAGTGACCTAAGCCAGTCCACAAGGACAAAACCTGTATAAGTCCCCTTCTAGGCAGGAATGGGATCCACGGGGGAAGAGTCGATGGTGGGCACCAGGGGCTGGGGGGTGGGCATTTAATGGGGAGTTTCGGTTTGGGAAGATGGAAAGTTTCGGAGACGGACGGTTGTACGACAGTGTGACTGTGCTCCATGCTCCTGAGTGTGCACTCACAAGTGGTTAGGATTGTCAATTTTATATGCGTTTTTTTTAAACCACAAATTAAAAAAGAAGACTGTGGTATGTAACAGATGTTCAGTAAATGTCAGTTCCCCCTGAGTAATATTTCATGTTGATTTCACCACTGTAATCAATAAATTATGAGAACAAACCCTTCGTGTGGACATTAGACTAGTGCCTGCGCTGGAGTCCGGGCTCTGCAGTCCAGCTGGACGCATGAGGTCAGCTCTCCTGCCCGCTTTCTCCTCAGGCCCCCGCCCTGCCTCGCCGCCGTTGCCCGCTGGCTTCCTGCCTTACATGGGGTGCTCTGGGCTTGTAGATGGGACCGGTTTATTGAAATGTTTCCGACTCCTGTTCTAGTTTGAGGTTTTCAAGCAAAGGGAGCGGGACACAAAGCCTGAAACCAGGCACAGAGAGCAGCCAGGGCAAAGGCCGTGGACCACCCCGCAGACCCGGAGCCAGCGACCCCTTCCACCCTGGCCCCTCCGGCCTTGTGCCTGCTGCAGCCATCCTGTTGGTCAGCACAAATCCTGCGGCCTCAGCAGCTGGCCTGGGCCTCTGCGGGGGCGTCCGGGAGGGCTCAGTCACTGGCAGGCCCAGAGCCGAGCTGGTGGGGGCTCGGCTCCCTTCACTGGCTCAGATCACCAGGCAGTCGTGGACTGGGGCAGGCGTGTGTCTGCGTGACTCTGGGGAGCCGCGACAGGTGTGAGGGTGTTAGCTGGGGGCACCCTTCTGTGACTGTCCCTGGGGGGAGCTGGAGGCAGGGATGGACGGCGTCCCCTCAACCCGCGAGCCTCCAAGCCCTGTGGCCGGGCCGGTGGGTCTTGCGCTCCATGCCAGGGTGGGAGCCAGGAGGCCCTCGGGGGAGGTGAGGGTCGGTGTGTGTGTCTGAGGGCTGAGCGCGCCTGCGGAGCTGTGTGTGTGCTCTTCTGTCAGCCTGTCACGGAGCGGCCTGGCCGTGAGGCTCCCTCGGGAGCCAGCTCTGCTGTTCTGAGTGGAAGCGAGGGTCAGGTTTCTCTGAGAAACCCCAGAATAGCCCCTGGCTGCTCAGGGGAAACCTGGTCTGGCCCCTGGTAGCCAGTCTGGCCCCTGGTCTTGCCCGCCTCACCCCCTCTCACCCCCTCCCCGTGTCCAGCTGTCTGCCCCCCCCAGCCCCCGAGTGCAGACTAGCAGCCCCTTCTGCACAGGGCAGCCAGGCCAGGAGATGCACTTGTCCCTCCGCCTGTTTCTAGAGACCGCCTACAAGCACTGGGGCCACAGGGATTGGGGGTGTCTCGGGGCCAGGGTGGGCATTCAGAAGGAACACTCACACGGGAGGACAGGCTGTGTGAGGGTCCCGTGGCAGAACGGTGGAAAGGTAGCCAATGCGGGAAAGGAGATTCGAGGAGGTTGACACGGTGAAGAGGAAACAGCAATGGGCAAACGCGTGTATACTCTGGGCCTCCCCGGCCACCCGTCAGCCCCTTTCCTGCCCTTGGTCCTCAGCCCGTGGTGTCTATCTGGGCTTTGGCTCCAGACACTGAGGCTGGGGCAGGGACCTTAGCTGGGACCTAGGGTCCGGGAGGGAGCTTCAGGGTGAGGGGGTGTTCAGGCCAAGGAGGGCCAGAAAGGGGCCAGGTGAGGAAGGGCCGAGCCTGTCCCAAAATAGGGCCACAGGACCTCCTGGCCATACAAGGATCTTGGAATCTGGACTCTGGGGACCCTAGGCAGCTGGGCCCAGCTAAAACGCAGCTGACACTTCTGCCCCTCGTCTCTGGTGCCACCGCAGTGTTCTTCCAGCCGGCCGCAGATATGGTAAGGCGGCTCCCGGCACCCGGCGGGGTCCCTGGTGGGCTGGCTTGGTGATGGAGCGGGAGCTGGGAGCCGGGTCCGGGAGGAGAGAGGACGGGACGGGGCTTCCAAGCACAGGCACCCGAGGGTGTGAGTGCCTCTCTGGGAATCGAGGGAGCAGTTCGGCAAGGCTGGAGGGAGAGGGAGGAGGGCGTGCTGAGCCCTGCTGGCTGCTGATGCGACTGTCGCTCTGGTGGCCCGGGGACGGGGGCGCCCTTTTGAAAGCTGCCATGACAGTGGAGGCAGGGGAGGCCAGGGGCTAGACTATCGACAGAAACACCACAACAGGCTGGGGTCCTTCACCCTGACCTGGGTCATGTTCCCCCCACGGCACCCTTCACCAGCTCCAGAGACTGGGTCCACCTGACACTCCACCACATGGCTGGCCTGAGCCTTGGTGTCTCACACCTGGCCTCTGGCTCTCGGGTCCTTCCCCTGAAGCCGCCTGACAGAGTCCCGCTCACTGCTGGCGGCCCTCCCCAGTGCCACCTTGTTTGGAAGCACCCTGGGCTGCGGGGGAGGGGGGACTCCTTCTTTAACCCCACGCCCTGCAGGGTTGCCAGGTGGAGGGACAGGGCAGGGTGCCATGTGTGCTGGGACCTCCAACTGCCTCGGACCGAGGGGCAGAGGAGGCCCTGGTGCAGGCCGGTGTCCTTGCAGACAGAGCGCCTGACAGCTGAGCAGATCAAGGAGTACAAGGGGGTCTTTGAGATGTTCGACGAGGAGGGCAACGGGGAGGTGAAGACCGGAGAGCTGGGGCGGCTCATGAGCCTGCTGGACATCAACCCCACCAAGAGTGAGCTGGCCTCCATGGCCAAGGATGTGGACAGAGACAGTGAGGCCGGGCAGGGGCAGGCCTGGGTGGGGGGCCGCCCGTGGGTACGAGCGGGGAGGGCCGCAGCGGCTCGCCCTCACGGTGCCCGGCCTGCTGCTTGCTCCCTGCAGACAAAGGATTCTTCAACTGTGACAGCTTCCTGGCCCTGATGGGGATTTACTGGGAGAAGGCCCAGAACCAGGAGGGTGAGCTGAGGGCAGCATTCCGTGTCTTCGACAAGGAGGGCAAGGGCTACATCGACTGGAACACGCTCAAGTAGGGCCTGGAGCTGGACAGGGGGTGGGTGAGGGCCAGAACCCTGTGGGCTGCCACTCAGTGTGGGGGCCCTGCAGGTACGTGCTCATGAACGCAGGTGAGCCCCTCAACGAGGCAGAGGCTGAGCAGATGATGAAGGAGGCCGACAAGGACGGGGATGGGACCATTGACTACGAGGGTGAGTGAGGGATGGGCCTGGGAGCCGGGTGCCTGGGCCAGGCTGCTGACTGACCTGTGCTTCTGCTCCCAGAGTTTGTGGCCATGATGACCGGAGAGTCCTTCAAGCTGGTCCAGTGAGCAGGTGCTGTGGCCCTGGGAGGCCTGCCTGAAGGCCACTGCCTGCTGCCGCCCACACTGCCGCTCAGCCCACCCTGCCCCACCTCTGGCCAATAAACACTCCAGCCGTACAAATGCGTGTTTTACTGTCCCTATGTAGCCCAGAAAGGAGGGGCTGGCAAAGATTTGGGACTGGAGAAAGGAGAGGGTTTTCCTCAGGCAGCCATGGCCCAGGGCCCGTCACTCCTGCTGTGACATCTGGCACCACCCACTGCCCAGGCTCTGGGGTCTGGACACCAACCTGAAAGCCAGACTGGGTACAGGTCGAAGCCTACCCCAGCCCCTCTGCCTGCACCAGGCAGTGGCGGGGTGGCTACTCACAGGCCCCTCCCAGAGCCTTTTCCTACAGGTGGAGATCACTTAGGTACAAACTTTATTCTCTCCAAAAAGCTGGGGGTGTCACAGCCAGCCCCGAGGCTCAGGCCTGTGGGGTCAGGGCTGAACGCAGCAGCCCCCGTGTGCGTGCCCAAGTGTGGGTTCATGTGTGCGGCCAATGCAGGGCCAGCTGGCCGGGCAGCCTGGCGTTACACAGCAACAAGGTCAAGGCTACAGCAATGCGCTGGACGGGCTGACCTTCCCTGGGGAAGGACCGTAGGGGTGTGCTGGGGGGGTCCCTTCTGAGCACAAGGTGGCTGGCACAACTGGGAAGTTCAAGAGAGTTTTCCTCTGCTTTTGAGGGGCGCCAGGACGACAGCCAGGGCTGCTAGGGCATTGGAGCCGGCTCCTGGAGCCCCGTCGATGTCTCTAGGCCTCAGGCCCCAGGGGGAAGATGGGGTTACTGAGAGGGCGGTGGCTCTTCCTGTCTGGGTTTGGCCATCTTGACAACCTCTTCATAGGAGGGTGGCAGCTCAGGGGCATACAGGCTGTAGGCAGGAGGGGTCATGGAGTCGAGGTCCAGGTCCCCAAAGGGAAGGGGCAGCCGCACGCCCAGCGGGTACTGCACAGAGCTGTAAGCTGCAGGGAACCAGAGTGCGTTTGTGGGGATGAGTCTGCTGTCACCTGCCCCCTGCTCTCCCTACAGGTGGGCAAGCCAACAGGGGAGGTCTGCAGGCACTCACAGGTCACAGTGCTGTGCACGGGGCTGTCACTGTCCACAGGGCTGACCGTCAGGTCGCAAGGCTGAGGTGTTGGTGGCAGGTGTGGCTGGCTGTGTACCCGTTTCCGGAGGCAGCAGAACCGGACACAGCTGGCTGTGACCCCACACAGCAGCAGCAGAAGGACAGCGAGTAAGATAAGCCTGTGCAGGGAGGAGCAAGACCCTGCCACTGGACTAACCTCTGGCCACTGGGCACCCGCTCCCCAGGGGCAGTCGTGGCCGACCACCCACGACAGGACAACGGGCAGGATAAAAGAAAACCAAAGAATGTCTCTGCAGGCCAGAGACCTCCTTCCAGGCCAGAGCTGGGCCTGAGGAGCCGGCTAGTCCCTGGCACCCTGCTGCGGGGCCTGCCCTGGCTCTCTCCAGGGCTGGCCACAAGTACCTTGGGCTCACTCCCAGGACACACTGTCCCAGGCCATCTGCACAGTCCTGTGCCCAAACCAATGACCATATTCACAGGGGCCTCCTGCAGGGGTGAGGAAGGAGGGAGTGGGAAGTGGATAAGCAGGCCATGAAGGGAAGTCCTGCCAAGGGCCTGGGTGCCCAGAGCAGTCCCGGACTGGGGCAGGGCCCACAAGAGAGGCCTCCCTGGTGCTAGGGGCAGGAGGCAGGGGTCAGCCTGGGAGGCTGCTGAGGGCCCCAGCGCCTTCCCATCAGCGTCGGGAAGGGGGGCAGTGCCGGCGCCTCCTCGTCCGTGGAGCTAGGAGGGGTGGGGGTCTGGTGGGCCTGGCCAGGGGCGAGCGCCGCGGCCTCCACTTACCCCACGTGCCACAGGCTGCTCCAGCGGGCCTGGGGCGGGCACCTGCGGGGACGGCGACACCTGGAGCAGGCGGGGCACCAGCCGGGCCGACGGCCCCGTCCGAGCCTCCCCCACAGGGCGAGGCCAGGCCCCGGCTCCCACCCCCCGACTTACAGGTCCGAGGGGTCGCAGCTGCCGTCCGCGAAGCCCAGCGCCACCTGTGGGGACAGGGGTGAGCCCGGGCCGGGGCGCGCCGAGCGCAGACCCGCCCCGCGGTGCCCGAGCCGAGCGCCGGCGACCCACCTGCGGCAGCGGCAGGAGCGGCGGCAGCAGCAGGAGCGCCCGGGAGGCCGGCGCCCCCACCACCATGCTCGGCGCCGACGGGGAGCGGGTGCCCGCCCGCCACGCCGCTTTATGGAGGCCCCGCCCCCACAAGCCCCGCCCCGAGCGCGTGGCCACGCCCAGCGGCCCGCCCGTCGGAGGCAGGTCCCGCGGCCACACCCCGGATCCCCTAGCCCGAAGCCCCGCCCCAGAGATACCGCCTCTCGAAGCCACGCCCAGCGAGAGAGCCCCGCCCTACGGCCCCGCCCTCCACGCCGGTCCACCGCGTGGGCGCGCTTGGGGGTCTCGGGGCGGAGGGAGGGGCGTGTTGCCCTCAGCCAGGGCGCAGAGCCGGGTCCCGGCCGGGCCAGGCCTGTCGGGCAGAGAGGCTCGGTGCGCCCGGGCTGCACGGGGTGCGGCCTCGAAGTGCGGTGGCGCTCACCCCCGCGGCGCTCAAGGTCAAGGGTGCTACGGTGAGGGTCCGGGGCGCTCCCAGCCTGGTGCTCGGCGGCATTTACTTGGCTCGCGTGCGCGGGTGCCGACTGCCTGGGGCTGCCTGGGGCTGGCCGGGCGCGGGCCCACCGGAGTCGGGGGCGGGTCCCTGCGGCGCTAACCACCTTTCCAGATCCCTCGCCTTCAAAGACTTGCCCAAGCTGGGGCGTTCGCCTCTGTGGTCCCCGGGCCTGGGGTCACAGAATGCCTGCTGTCCATTCTGCCGGGAAAGCCTGGGGGCCGTTTCTCCCCTACCGCTCTTCTCACCAGGCTAGCGGCCCGGGGAGCTTGCGTCCCTCTGGCCTCTACTCCACCATCTGGCGGTCAGGCTAAGGGAGGGGGTCAGCTCTGCAAGGTGCAGGGTGGCCGGCCTTGTCTGGCCAGGGCGAGGAGCTGCTACCCTTGACCTGTCTTGTCTTTTTTTTTTTTTTTAAACGTTCGTCTATTTCAGAGAGCCAGTGCGCACTCTTGAGCATGCGCAGAGGGCGGAGGAGCGGGAGAGCGGCTGACTCGCTGCGAGCTTGGACCCTGCCCTAGATCATGACCTGCGCCAAACGCAGAGTCAGTGGCTTAACCAGCCACCCAGGCGCCCTGACCTCTTCCTTCCCTTCCCTCCACCCCTCCCTCCCTCCCTCCCTCTCTCCCTCTAAGTTTGTATTTATGTGAGAGAGAGAGAGAGCAGGAGCAAGAGAGCCCATGCAGGAGGGCGGAGGGAGAGGGAGACGCGGACTCCCAGATGAGCAGGGAGTGCGACGTGGGGCCCGATCCCAGGACTCTGGGATCATGACCCCAGCGGAAGGCAGACGCTTATCCATCTCAGCCACCGAGGTGTCCTGACCTGTCTTTCTTAGCTTGGGTCTTCCGCCTGGATCTACCAGGCACCCGCTCTTTGATCTCGCTTGATCTTTGCCGGGGCTTTGCCCTGAAGCTGTTCTGCACCTCCCGGATATGCCATGGCAGCCCAGAGCCCCTTCTGCCCACTGTGCTCCAGCCAGGCTGGCTGAGCTTGGTTCCTGGTCATCCTTCCTCCTCCTCCCTTTTGCCTTTACTGGGTGGGAGGGAGGAGGATGGACAGAAGTCCAGCCAGTGCCCAGGAGCTCAGGCAGGGCCTCGGCCAGTGAGTACCAGGGCCTGTTAGCAGGAGAGTGAGGCCAGGGTTTAGGAGAGGGGCCTGCCTCTCTCGCCTACCAGCCAGAAGAGGAGGCAGGGACCATGTTCTGCAGGGAGCGCCTCCTCCTGGGGCCTGGGTTTGGCCTGGGGTGCTGGAGCTTGCCTTCGCCTCTCATCTGGTGAGAAAGGCTTGGGCTATGGCTGGCCAGCCCCAGGAGGGCACAGACAGAAGTCCTGCAAAACTCCACTATAGGGTCACTGTCACTGGCCTCGGGTTAGGGAGATGGCAGTCTTTTAGGCATGAAGGGCACCAAGGAACTAGGGTTAGGACGGTGGCTCCAGGCTGGTGTCCTGAAGTCTGTGCCCAGGAGAGCCCCCAGATGCATCACACCATCCTTTCCTGCTAGGGAAAGTTGCATGTTCTCTCCTGCTGCTGGCAGGCACGGGCCTGGGGTTCGTGGGCTGGGCATGCTGTGTATGGAGGGGCCAGACTGGGTGGGCTCTGTGGGGACAGTGTCCAACCAGCACTCTCCAGAAGGCAGGGGCTGGGGCAAGGGCACATTCTGAGCTCCCAGGAGTGCGGTGTAGCCTGTGGGAAACTCTACCTTGAAGGATGTGTTGGAGACCAGAAGGCTGAGCCTGGACTCTGTACAGAAAAATGGAAAACATAACTCATGCTCTGGGCCCCACTCTGGACTCCAGCGAGACACTGGAGGGCCACACATTTGCTCCATCCTTCCTTAGGGTCATCAGGGATCCTGACACTTGGGAGGGACAGAGAATCCTAAAGGGTGCCCTGGCTTTGGAGCCTCCTATACCCTTCCCCATCTTTGCAGGGCCTCTCTGGGTCTGGGCCTGTCTCACCTTCAGCCTGTGTCCCCAGCACCCTGCCTTGCCAGTGGTTCCCCAGTGAGTCAGGGTGGGGTTCGTCGCTTATGGACCAATTTGTGTGTGTGGGTGTGGGGGTCTAGGAGGCAGGCGCTGCCTCCCCAGGGCTCTGTCCCCATCTCTGATCCGGTGCGCATCCCACACTTCAGGCCTATAGGAAGAAGCCCAGAAGGTTTATTGACAGACCTGTGGGGGCAGCTCTTCCCCCCATCAGCGCCTCTAAAGGCTGGGCAGGTGGGTAATGGCGGGGCTGGGGTGCTGAAGGGCTTAGAGTCAGAGCAGGCTGTGGGCAGGACTGGCCTTCTTGCTGCTTCTGAGTGGGGCCAGAGGAGGGAGTGCTCTGGACTCAGGGGGCCCAGGGCAGTAGGAAGTGGCCATGCCTGTGGGGTGGGGCGCCCTGGCCATGGGTCACACAGAGGGCTGCACGTTTGAACCTCCCAGCCGGGGATGCGCAGGTCCCAGGCCTGTGGGTGGTTTGGCCTGTTTACAGACCAGGGGAGGGCTTCAAGGGTGAGCAGGAGGGCCCGAGGGGGCTCTGTGGAGAGACTCCTGTGGCCTCAGGGGCCAGTCACCACCTGGGCCACCAAGAGGACCTTGTAAGTCTCCTTCACGTCCCCCTTGAGCTGCAGCAGGGCTGACACCGTGAGTGGGTGATCTGGCTGGAACGGGAGGAGGAGGGAAGGAAGGAGACCTTTGGTTAGCTGGCCCACCAGACACGTGTGTTGTCTCACTGCCCACTGTCCCCCTCACCTGCCCGGGGCCCACCCGGCAGCCCCTTCCCTCGGTGGGGCCGGGGTGTCATCCCGCCGAGCCTTCGGCTTTTGCAGGCCTTTCTGGCCAGAGTCTGTGGCACCTACGTCAAAATCGGCAGGCGGCATCCAGGAGATGCTGATGGTCTTGGTCTGGCCACGCTCCACGGAGCCCCTGGAGGGCTCGATGGTGAAGCCCTTGTGCTGCAGAGCGGCGCCGCCCTCCAGGCTGAACTCGACTGTCTGTGGGACACTGGAGCTGCAGGTGAGGCTGGCCGGCTGGGCACAGCTCCCAGGAAGCAGTGGGCCTGGGGTCGAGGGTAGCTGACTTCGCCTGCCCTCTCAGCCCTGACCGGCCCACCCCACATCTACCAAGAGCCAAGGCTGGGAGGGGGGCGGGCTGCCCAGGCAGGGGGAGCTCTGGAGGGGCTGGCTGGGCCCGGGCAGCGCCGTGCTCACCTTCTTTGGGGACACCTGGCTCGTCCGGATGCAGCCCACCTGCAGCTCCCGGGTGGCAGGGGGAGGTGGCGTGTCTGTGTCTAACTGGATGTAGTCTAGGGTCACCAGGATGGACTTCAGCTCCTCTGTTTCTGAAGAGAGACCAGCGGGCTGGGGGGCTGATGGGGTGGGGCGGGGCTTCCACGCAGAGAGGGAGGAGGCTGCCTGGGGGCAGCTGGTCCTCAGGAAATCTCTTTAGCATGACCCCACCCCTTGGAGGATGGGCCAGGAATGGCCGCCCTAATCTTCCGGCTTCCTAGGGCTGAGGGTACAGGCGGGCCTCAGGAGGGGTCCTCTTCCTGCGGCCAGCCCTCCCTGCCCCACCAGGGCTCACCCTCTCTGTGCTCAGGCTCGCGGGTGGGGATCACGGTCAGGGACTCCACAGGCACGTCCAGGGGGTCGCTGCCCTCCACAAACATCATGTGTTCGCGGGCTGCGCCCTTCAGGAGGATCTGGTGGGAGAGTCTCTGGGACAAGAAGCACATCAGCATCGTCTTGTGACCCATGAGTGGGGCTCTGGGAGGGCGCGGGCCCGTGGGAGCTGGGACACTGGCCTCTCCACCTGACGACACCCCTGGCGTGGAGCCCCCAGGATGCCAGGCTGGGAAGGCAGGAAGGGCCCCGGTGGGAAGGGGGGTCGAGGCTGGGCTAGGGGAGCCGCACCTTTTCGAAGAGCACCACCCGCAGCCTGTCAGAGAAGTACAGGCTCTCATGGTCTGGGCTGAAGGTCACGGTGAAGTCCTGGGCCTTGCCTGGGTCCACGATGCCTTCGACCGGGATCACACTGAACACGCTCTGGCCGCTGTAGTTCTGGGTGCCTGCGGGCCGGCGGGCGGTGCGGCGGGTCCCTGCTCAGCCGGAGCCCCTGGCCCCCCACCCGCCCGCCGCCCGTGCCGGCCTCCCTGGGCCTTGCCCTGCGGCCCTGGCCGGCCGTGGTCCCGTGGCACCCCCGCCCGGCTCACCCACGACTTCAGTCCTCTGGGCCCTCGAGATGAGGAACTGCGGCAGGCGCGGCTGGTCTTCGCTCCTGGAGCGGGAGAGGCTGTCCAGCTGCAGCGAGAACTTGATGGGCAGCGTGGAGCAGTTCTGCAGCTGTGCGGAGGGGCGACCCTCAGCCGACGGCCGTGCCCCGCCCACGCAGGCTGCTGCCAACGGGACCTCCCCGCAGGGATCACACCCCGCCGGGGTCTGGTCACTCTCCTGTCCAGTCGGGTTCACCTCGTGCCCATGGCACTTCACGGCGCTACTGGCTCCTTCGTCCGGCCTCACGTGACCCCCCGTCCAGGCTGGCCTGCCTGCCGGACCACTGTGCCTCCGGGTGGGACAGCTCCGCAGTGCCCTCTGTCCTCCTGAGCTGCCTCTGTTGTCAGGCTCAGGCTTGCCCTCAGCTGAACCGGCATCCTTGCCCAGTCTATCCCCTGCCCTCTCCCGCTTCTCCTGGCGGTGTCCCCTCCGCAGTGAGACACTTCAGGGAATCCCTGTTCTGGGCTCAGTGCCGGGTCCCGACCTAAGCTAGCGGACGAAGCAGGTGTCGTGGGGGTCCTTGATCCCAAGGCTGGTGAGTCCCTCAGACACTCGGGAAGCTGGGGAGCTAGGCTGGCCCTCCGGCAGGGGCTGGTAGGCCACAGGGCGATGTGACCTTACCACAGAAGTCTGTACCCACGCCCGCACCCCCACAGCAGTGGCTGAACCGAGCTCCTCATCCCAGATGGGAGGACTCCTACGAAGGCCCCGTACAGGGAGACAGGGAACCCTGAGGTAGAGCAGGTGAGGGGTGGAAGGAGGGTGCTGGACAGCGCAGTGGAGGTGGCAGCTGCTGGAGGGGGCGTGACTGGAGCCGGGGGTGGCCTGAGGTGGGGGGATGGACCCACCCTGGCTACCATACCAAGGCGGGTCTGATCCCTCCCAGGGTGGAGCCCCCTCCCAGGAGACCAGGCAGGCGCCAGCCCCCTGTGATGCGCTTCACCTTGAAACTTGAGGACACAGACTCTCTGGCAATGACGTAACCCATGTCGAGAACGTCCCCGTCAATGGAGCACGTGATCACGGATGCCACGCCGGTGCCCACGAGGGTCAGGGAGAGTGTCCCTCTCTTGGTGGTGATGTCGAGTGTTTCTTGGGCCTGTGGAGACCACATCCGTGAGCACGGAGCAGACCTCTGTCGGAGGCGTGCGGCGGAGCTCTACTGGGAGCTGCTGGGCAGGCTGGAGCGGAGACGGCTTGGAGCTCCCCAGCTGCCCCCTGCTTGCCCGCTAGGGCTGAGGGCCTGGGGGTCTGGCCACCCCCAGGGCCTGAGCAGACAGGGTGTAGCATGGTGTGAAGTGGGCCTGGGGCTCACCAGGATGCTCTCGCGGGGAGAGAAGGACAGCGTCAGGACGTAGGTCTCGCCAGTAAGCAGCTTGCTGATGGGGTTCAGCAGGACGAAGGGGCCGTTGGGGTTCAGCACGGAGAATTCTACCTGAGGCCCAGTGTCAAGGACAGGTGTGCAGGCAGACCTGCAGCCCTCCCCCCACCAGCTCCTGTCCCGTCCACGTGGGCTGCCTGGGCTGGGTGTGGACAAGGATACGGCAAGATCCTCCGGGGAGATGTTCTGGATGGAGACCTTCTTTATCCCGTGGTGTCCTGAAATGGGATGGTGGGATCAGGGTATAGCCCTAGGCCCAGGAACGGGCTGTGGGAACCCAGGCGGGGACTGTGGGTGGGCCGGTCTCTGGCGTGGGAGTCGCAGGGGGTGCTGGACCTGGTCAAGGCTCACCTACAGCAATGTCGCCGAAGTCGGAGATGGTCTTGCCTTTGTTGGAGGTCACCACGACAGAGGGTGCCACTGCCGGACACCACAGCTCCAGGTACAGGGTATTGTGAGGACTGGGGGGGAGGGGGAGTGCTGATGGCACTGTGCCCCGCCTCCCCACTCTCGTCCTGCTCACTCCAGCCACTATGCCCTCCCCTCTGGGGCCCCAGATCTGGGTTGGGACGGTCACTTTCCAGAAGACGCTCCCCCCACCCCCTGCCAGAACACCGTACCTGAAACTCAGGGGTTCTGTCCCCTTCCTGTCTTTGGTGTCACCACTGGCGACGACACAGGGAACCACAAACTTGTCGAACTTCCCCTGGAAAGATCTGGCCAGGGTGGCCTGGGCAATCTGGTACTCGTTGGAACTAGAATGAGGCAGTGACGTGCACTCCCACTCCTGTGCCCACACCACACACGCCCCAGTGGCTGGGGGCCCCACCACGCTCTCCTGGGGCAGGGGATGGGGTGCACAAGGCCATACCTGCTGCCCAGGACTCTAGACCAGAGGGGGAGGGACCCCAGGCTGTGGCTGCCCTACTTTCTTCTGGTTTCTGTGGGGTCCTCCCCTTACCCCAGCGTCCTGGTCAGGCACCTAACAAGAGGACTGTGTTCCTGGGGTCTCAGGTGAGGATCTAGGATGGGAAAGTGACTCAAGCCCCTCAGAGCTCTCCTGGCCTCATTTTGCACCTGGGGAGGGTGGAGTTGCTGAGCTGGGAATATGGGAGTCAGGGGCAGCAGGGTCTCCCCAGCCCATGGCGTGAGGCTATGTGTAGGGACAGGGGGCCCTTGGGAATGAGGTGGGCAGATGCCCAGGAAGCCAGAGCTTAAGGAGCCTCAAGGCAGTGCCTGGATTCATCTATGCCTGAAGCCAGCCCAGCCCTGGACGTCAAGTCTCATGGCTCAAAACAGCTCTGCTCCAGGCAGCCCATGGGGGGACGTCTCCATGGGGGTCAGGACAGGGTCTCGTCACGTGGACGCAGAGGGAGGCGGTGGGGCGAACTTCTCTCGGGCCCACCTGAACTTGAGGTCCTGCTTGTCCAGCTCTGCAGTTGGGGTGGTCGAGCTCCTGAGCAGTCGGTCTTGGTTCTGCGGCTGTAGCATGGAGAAGGACTGTCTCTTGAGGTCCTTCTTCTGGCTGGTTGTGTCCTTGCGAAGCTGGGATGCAGAGAGGCCGCCTCTGCTCAGCCTAGCGGGCCCCATGGCCGCCCCCTATGGCCTGTTCTCCGCCAGCGCAGACCTGGGCTGACTGCCCCATGCAGGGGCCACAGGGGTGGGGGCTTGGAGTGGACAGAGACCCAAGCACCAGGTGGCTTCCTCGGGAAGACTGACCACAGGTGCAGTAGGCAGCTGAGTGTCCAGAGACCCCTGCCCCCGGGCCTGGGCAGTGTTTGCTTCCCCAGCAGGGAAACAGGCAACAGAGGGGAAGATTCGCCTGGGACCAGGGGTCCTCCTTCCTGGTGCCTGTCCCCCGACGCCTCATTGCAGGAGGGCAAGTGCTTCCCCCTGCGTGTGCCGGGTGCTGGAGAAATGTGCTGTGTCCCTCTGCGTCCCCAGGGCAGCAGTGGGCGGCTGTCGTTCTAGGCCGACTGCACGGCTCCGTGTGGGTCTGAGGGACTCCCTCTCCCGTGGAGTCACGGGGTGGGGGGTGCAGGAAGTCCCAGCCCCCACCGTGTCCCCCACGCCCCTCCTCTTGGAGCCCCGCACACACCACTTTGGCCTCCGCCGGTCTGCTCAGGGCCTGGGAGGCTTCCTGGTGGACCAGCTTGCTGGGCAGCACGGGCCGGAACGCCACCCGGATAAGGCGTCTCTGCGGGGAGAGGATTGTGGAAGGCAGAGCTGACCCTGCGGGTGCCCTGGCCTCCTCGGCACCCACTACAGCCCCCATCCCCACTGCATGGCCCGGGTCTTGCTCTCCGACAGTCCTGACAGGACTCTCCTGTCACTTTGTGAAGGCTCTTTCCAGGGGGACGTTCCCTGACCGCTGCCCCTGGGGCTGCTCTTATCCTATAGGGCGGGGGTCCCGTGACGGAGGTCCTGGTGGGCTGGGACCCTGCCTGCAGCTCACATTAGGCAGGCCATGTGTGAGAAAGGCAACTTGGCATTTAGCCATCAAGATTTGGGGTGAGTTCTTCACCCCAGCTTGTCCCTGTGACCGGCGCAGCCTGCAGGGAGGTCCTGAGCCCCACCGAGGGCTCACTCCCTGGTGTCCCTGGTGCTCAGTACAGCAGAGGTGCCCACGCACTGGGGGGCAGAGCAGATGGCCCCGGGGGAGAATGAAGGGAAGACGGAGGGAGGGAGCAGGGAGCGAACGCAGAAGCCAACCACAATACCTCCCTTGGGGATTGGTACCTAAGTAGTTTTTGCTAAATTTAATAAAGTGCATTTTATTTATTTATTTATTTATTTGGGAGAGCATGAAAGGGGAGAAGGTCAGAGGGAGAAGCAGACGCCCCATGGAGCTGGGAGCCAGATTCGGGACTCGATCCTGGGGCTCCGGGACCATGATCAGAGCCGAAGGCGGGTGCTTAAGCAACTGAGCCACCCAGGCGCCCCGTAAAGTGCACTTAAATGATCACAGTAACTGACCTACCGCCGGGCCCAGGTGCCTCCAGCACCCTCATCTACCCCTCCTCACGTCGTCCTGGCGGCAGGGGCCCTGGCTCTAAGCTCCAGGAGTCTGGGATGGCCCTGGGGCGGGCTGAGAGGAAGCTCTGTCCCCAGGGCCCTGTTCTTTCCACTCTGTCAGGCAGGGCGGGGCGGTGGAGCCCTTGACCAGCTGAGTGGACACCCACCCTGCACTTCCGGTGACCAGGCCCTCTGGTCCCATCTGCTGTGGGATCCCGGGGTCTGATCCTCTGCTGGAGCTCCCGGCCAGGTGCTTATGGGGTTGGCCACCCTTGGGTGCCCTTGTCTTGAGCTTGGGCTGGCTGGGCCTCCTCGCCCTGCCCATGTCCATGGGCCATGGAGACTTCCTTGGCCCTGCTTGGGTCTGACAAGGCACAAGCTCACCCCGACCTCTGCTGTCCAGGCTGCGTTGCTGTGGCCAAGGGTGGGCAGAGCCAAGCACCCCAATAGAGCTCCGCCCCCAGCCTACCCATGGGGCCCACACCTGCCTTTCCTGGCAGCACGGTCCCCACGGAGGGCGAGATGGTGATGGGCGAGTCCGGGGGCAGCAGGAACTCGAAGGACGTGGGCCCCACGGGAGAGGCGTCCTCAGAGCCGATGCGGGGCACGGAGTGGGTCAGTGAGTTCATGCTCACGTGAGAGTTGATGACGTACAGGGTGGCCACGGACATGTCATACAGGGAGGTGGCCGCAAACTTGACTTGGTAGTGGGACAGCTCCAGGGGCGGGTGGACGCCCACAGCTCGGCACGCCAGCTTGAAGGACCTGGAAGGGTGGGCGTGGGCGGCTCAGTGGGGCCGCTGTTTGCGGGCTCCCTCTACGCTGTGGAAGGTGGCCCCCGAGGGAGACGGTGGCCTGCATGGGCACAGCAGCGCCTGGGACCATGACAGCAGTTGTCCCAGATTTTGCTACCTCATTAGTGAATTTTACTCTTTTTCGAAGATACTGTCGCTCAGTTGGTGAAGCGTCTGCCTTCGGCTCAGGTCATGACCCGGAGTCCTGGGATCCCGTCAGGCATTGGGCTTCCTGCTCAGCAGGGAGCCTGCTTCCCCACTGCCTGCCGCTCCCCTGCTTGTGCACGCGCTCTCTCTCAAATAAATAAAATCTTGGGGCGTCTGGGGGGCTCAGTGGGTTAAGCCGCTGCCTTCGGCTCAGGTCATGATCCCGGGGTCCTGGGATCGAGCCACGCGTCGGGCTCTCTGCTCAGCGGGGAGCCTGCTTCCCCCTCTCTCTGCCTGCCTCTCTGCCTACTGTGATCTCTCTCTGTCAAATAAATAAATAAAAGCTTTAAAAAAAATAAATAAAATCTTAAACAAGGAAGATCCTGTATACCCTGCACCCATTTAAAGTGGAGAGCTAAAAATTTCATCCCAAATTGCAGAGGAGTTAATTTCTGGCTTATTTTGTTAAATATTCATTGGCATTTAAAAATAAAACCGATGGATTGGTCTTTGAATACGAGTGCAGGAATCTGTACACCCCAGGGAGTTAATTTCCGCCATTATCCTTTAAAGAAAAAGAAGGGATGTGGGAGGGGGCTTTCCCTCCTGGAACATGGACCTGTTGGCCGGGCACCTGGGCTGTGACGTTTGAAGACTAATCTTTAACCTCGGTTTGAGTGTTCTTGGACCGAGTGTGATCCGCCTGGTATTTGAGTTAAGATAATGTATCCAAAAACCCACCCAGATATTTGGTATTTTAACCACTGGAATATTTCCAGTTCACATCTTCGAACCCAGATTTCTACTGTCCTCTCTGTGTTGAATTTCATCCTAATTACATACATTTTAAGGCTCTGATGTTAACTGCCCTGTCGTAACCCAGCTGTGACGGCGATGTTGCACACACACTGAAGTACTGAAATATGTATTTTTACGTCTTGTGACCACAGGCTCTAAATGTGGAACAAAAATCCTTCTGTGTGGGAATATCATTGAGGTTATTATTAGTATGCGGTTAATTGAAGAACGGTAAATGTTTCAAGCGTGATCATCATTACACAGAGAGAGAGAGTTCACTGGATGTGTTTCAGGATGGTGGATGGAGCTGCTGTTCTCCAGCTGGTTCCAGCATCAGGAGTGGCGGGGCCGGGGGTGGGGGCGCTGCCCGGCTTCCCTGCGGGGCCCTGGGGATGGGCGTGGAGGGAGCTTTGCTCCCCAGCATCACTCAACCCTATGAACCTCTCCCTGAGCGTCCACATCACAGGACGTGTCTTGCAACGTTATCTTGAACAGTCCCTCTCTGGCGACTCACTTAGGCCCACCTTCATTTTTTTGCACAGAAAGAACCAGAAGCGCCCCCTGCCCCCACCTGTCAGGGGCAGCATCACCAGGGCTTGACTGAGAGGCCAGATGCTGCCATTCTTATGACTGGGAGGCAGCGGGTTTTACCCAACACCCTGATGGGGGATGTGGCAGGTGGGTAGTCAGGCCATCGATTTTCCTTGTGGGTTCTTTTTTTTTTTTTTTAAGATTTTATTTATTTATTTGACAGACAGAGATCACGAGTAGGTAGAGAGGCAGAGAGAGAGAGAGGAGGAAGCAGGCTCCCTGTGGAGCAGAAAGACTGATGCGGGGCTCGATCCCAGGATCCTGGGATCATGACCTGAGCTGAAGGCAGAGGCTTTAACCCACTGAGCCACCCAGGCGCCCCTTCCTTGTGGGTTCTAACTCTGCCCTTCACTCTAAATTCTTACAGCCTGTGGACTCACCCCTGCTCACCTACAAGCCTGTCAGATCCCAGGCGACCAGTGGTCCTGCCCATGGCCACACTCCCGCGGCCAGAAGAGGGCTTGACCCATGGGCCCTGGGCACTCTGACCCCAGACAGGGTCGAATGGCAACTCAGGCTGGAATGTAGGTGGGAACAGAAGAGACAAAGAGAAACAGGAGGGCGGGCAGTGGGGCTTGGTGCCCAGCCGGACACCTGTACAGGGTGCTCTAGAACATTCCTCACTGGGACAGATAACCTCAGTCAGCAACAAGAACACAGCCCTTATCCCAGACCCCCCCTTCAGCACCCTGTTTGGTTTCTCTCTTTCTACCACCTCCTCCATCCCACTTGTCAAGGTGGAAATGGGAAGCTCAGGGAGGTCCAGGGAGTGTCCCCATCACATGGTGCATTAGAGTGAGTAGAGCTCCTGCCCAGGTCCTCCTGGGTGCAGAGGGACACTCTGCACGTGCATGCACACCACACGTGTCAGCACGTGCATGCTCACACACACACACACACGTCCGTAGTGCACGCTCACACAATTCACGCACACCCCTCACGCTCACACGCGCATGTGCACACACACTCACAGGTGCACGCTCACACACATGCACACACTCGTACTGCTCCCATGCTCGTACTCTCATACACATGTGCACACACACACGCGCGCGCACGGATGCACAGGGCGAGCTGGCCTGGCAAGCGAGGTCCCGGATCCCGGGAGACTGTACCTGGGTCTGAGGTCCTGGTGGTCCATCGTGCCTCAGCCCAGCCCCGCGGCCGACCCAGCTGCCAGTGCTTGAGTCTGGGGGCGGGACTGCCACCCACCCCGCCCCCGCCCGAGCCAGCCACACCCGGCCCTCCACACGCCTCTTGCCTGCCAGGCTTACCGGTTGATCTCGGACTTGCAAACGAGCTCAAAGTCGTACTCCTTGGCCTTGGTGGGTTGGAAGATCAGGTCAAGTTGGAGCATTTCCAGCGGCAGGATTGTCCCAAACCCGTCATTGGGCTGGATGTCCACAAACTGGCAAACGGCAAACCACTGACCCCAGAGTGAAAACTGGGGTCTGCTGGAGCGTATCGTGGGGGCTGCGTGGACATGCGTGTGGTCGAGCGTGTGAGTGTGTGAGTGTCTGGGCATGTGTGTGAGAGTGTACGAGTACGCAGATGTGTGTGATTGTGCGTGTGTCAGCATCTCTGTGAGGACGTCTGTGTGTATGTGATCGCACGTGCACATGCGAGTTGTCCATGTGTCTGTATGTCACGACGCGTCTGTGTGTGCATGTGAGCAGATGCGTGTGCTCACTGTCGCGTTCATACATGTGTCGGCATATGTGTAAGAGGGTGGCAGGGTTGGTGGCAGACTGGCTCACAGAGAGTTGAGGGCAGCCTGCTCTGAGCCTCATCTTGGCTGCCCTGAGGGCCCAGGCAGGCCAGACTTCTGGAAGGAGCAGAGGGAGAGGTCTGGAGTCCCGCCAGGGCATGGGCCAGGGAGGGAGAGAAAGGCTGGTACAGAGTAGCAAGGCGAGGTGGGGATATGGGGACGAGGAGGGGGACAGGCAGGGAGAGACGCAGGCTGACGGGCCTGGAGGTGGGCATGGAATCTGGGGAGGGGTGAGGCCACCTGGGGCTGGGCATCAGAATCCTGGGGGCAGCACCGGCCTGGCCCATCCCCAGAGCTTCCCAACTCTGTCCCCGCACCCATGCCCCTCCCTGACCGAGAGAGGCACCTTGGGGACCCCGACGAACCCAAAGCCCTGGGGCAGGAGGGAGTGGTTGTAGAGGCTGATTTGTGTCCTGATGGCCTCGTAGATCGTGCAGTAGCCGAAGTCCACGGCCGAGGGACTGAGCTCTAGGTCCGAGGTGGTGACCACAGCATGCACGGTAAACACCACCGGCTTGATCTGAAGGGGACACGGCGAGGATGCCACAATTACTTGTGTCTGTTTCTGCAAAGGACTCCACACATGAGAAAGGCAGAAGCGTTGGGCCAGACACAAGACTTGCTTTGGGAAAGGCCACTTGCCTGTCCCAGTTGACTTGGGAGGACAGGGAAGCAGGTGCCAGAGAGGAGGGGAGGAGCCTTGGGTGGGCGTGGGTGGGGGGGTGCACGAGCGCACGTGCATATACACACGTGCACTCCCTGTGAGTGTACACGTGGGCGCGTGTGGGTTCTGGTGACGGGAGGACGCCCCGCTGGCCCCTCACAGCCCTCATGGGTCTCTCCTGAGCCACAGACACCCGGCCTTCACGGTCGCCGCGTAAGGGCTGCTGGGCCGGGAACCCGCCAGGGCCCTGCCTCCGCATGAGTGCCCAGCATTCCCGGGGAGTGTCCCACTCAGACCTGGTCAGCCACCCGGATTGTCATCGGGGCCTCTAGGACTCTGCTTTCCTTGTCAAAATACTTCCCTGCGTCTTCTGGGAGGGAGTGTCTGGAAGAGAGGACACACTCCGCTTGGAGAAGGACAGGGCCACTGACCTGCGAGCTGCCCACGGCGGGCTCCCCGGGCACTCACCGCGGCAGGAACTTGAGCTGCACGGAGTAGCAGGACTGGGCCTGGATGTAGCCCGTCTCTGGCAGGAGCTCCATGTGCTCCCGTAGCTCCCTGCACACTTCAAACTTCAGACGCAGCGCCGCTTTCGACCTGCGGGCCACCCGGGGGCACCAGACGGCAACACTGAGTGTCTGCACCCATGGGACTGATAGCCCTCGCGCACCCCGGACGCCCACGGGTGCGTGTGCGCAGCCCGGCTTGCTAAGGGATGGTTTCCTGGGGAGGAGTTCCTACAAACAGAAAGCCCGCCATGGAAATACGGCCCCAGTCAATTCTCAGAGGCCGGAGTGTTTTCTGGGAAGAACTTTGCAGGACAGGCATACCCAGTGCGAGGACCTGGAGGGGTGTGGGAACGGGGCGGGGTACCCCTGGCCTGTGGGGCTCTGCCATACTCCTGCCCAGTCCGAGGTTGGGGATGGGCCTGAGGCCGCTTCCCCAGATCTGCCCCCTCCTCCAACTCTGAAGCAGCCAGAGGCGGCGGGTGCATGGGGTGTCTGCTTCTAGTCAGGGCCTCTCGCTCGCTGGGCCCTGTCTGGTCTCACCTGGAGCCTTCCCTTTTCCTACCATGAAGTGTCCCCACACCCCTGCCTGCCTTTGAGTCTCCTGCAAACCAAGTGACCTGGCTGACTCTGTCACAGACACACGCCCTGGGTGTGCAGCTGGGATCTTTGTTTATCCCACAGGCCTGCGGCTGCCTCCACCCCCAAAAGCAGCTGCACCTCAAGCCCTGAGATAACCGACAGAGGCCGCTCACCCTCGTTTCCCAAACAAGTCCACGGGCCCCTCCCGAGTCCCCGATGTTTGTAGTCCTGGCGCGGGGACAGGCATGTCCCCACACAGACGCAGGGTCACGGAGGAAGTCTGCGGACTTCCACACCTACGAGCTGGGTCTGTGCTGGAGGCAGGGCTCGTGAAACCCGGGGGCCTGGCATCAGCAGGTACCGGCACCAGGCCTATCTGGGGAATGACAGTCGCCTAAGAGCTAACCACGGCCTTTGCCTACTTTTCTCCGTCTAAGCTATGTGTCAGTAAAAAGCTTTTAGAAATGACTGGTCGGTGTCTGGACGCCTTTGCAAGACCCCCTAGAGAGAAACTTGCTTCTTTCCTTGGGGCTCTGTCCGCTTTTCCTCTCATGGCTGTGCTCCTGGTTTTCCTGTATGTGTCCATGAGGCGCCAAGGACAATGGCGTGGATGGGCGGGGCGTCCCTTTCTTGCTGGAGCCGCTCAAAACAGACCCAGGGGCTTGGAACAACACAGACTTATTCTCCTGGAGTTCTGGAGGTCAGAACCAGACATGGGTCCCTCTGGCTAAGGTCCACCTGCGGCCAGGGCTGCCTCCTTCTAGGGCTCTGGCCCTTCCCCGGGTCTAGAGGTACTGCCTCCCTGGCCATGGCCAGGCCTCGTCTTCCCCTCTGACTCCCTCCACATCTGACTCTGGCCCTGCTGTGCCTCCCACCAGGATGACCATGAGAGTCGACCCGGCGGGAGGTCCGGCCGAATGGTACACGTGGGCCGGGGCTCCGCTGCCGCAGCGCTCACCGAGTGTGCACGAGGACGGAGTCCTGGTACAGCCGGTCATACATACAAATCTTCAGGTCCACACAGGGCTTCGGCACCCAGACCGGCACGTCGATAGCGATGCCCATGACTCTGAAATACAACTGAGTTTGAAGGTGCGAAGTCAGTGACACACACCTCTGTTGGCCAGTGGGTGACGCCCAGCTGCGGGGTTTTAGGACGTATGAGTGTTGGAAGGTTACTTGTTAAACCAGCCACGTGTTGGAGTTCTGTGGCAGTTTTCACATTATATACTTTAAACAATCCTTCTTATTATCAAAACGTTCAAACATAAGATAGACTAGTATAATGCGTTGTCACGCACCCATCACATAGCTTCCTGATGGTCCCCGCTTTCAGCTGCTTAAACAAACCCTTTCATTACAGAATAATGATCTCCCAGACACACGCACACTTTGCCAACTCTCCCAGCCAATGCAGGTGGAGGCTCAGAGGTCTCGAAGGGACCAGGGACAGAGGGAAGTACTTCTCTCCCGTCTGTGGCCACCAGCTCCTCCCAGTCAGACCCCGAGTCCTGGGTCTCAGGACGTTTGGGGTCTGTGGGGGTCCTGCAGGGACAGCCTGTGCCCAACAACCCCTCCCAGGCCGGACAGACGCCCAGCAGGGGAGGCACAATCCTGGGGTGATGGTGGCGAGCCGAGGCCTCCACACACCTTCCTCCAGGATCCCTGGCCCAGGGAGGGGGCCGCCGGCCCACAGGATGGGCCTCGTGAGAGTTCGAACACCCCAGCTGGCAGACCCTAGGCCACAGGGTCCCTGGGGCACAGATAAGAAGATCGTGGGTTAAAGATAGAACGCATCTGTGGTCTCAGGGCCGGGAAAGCATGGAGGGCGTGAGCGGTGTGATCCCCCAGGTCAGGAATTTGCTTACAGCTCTGACACACAGGTGCACACGTCATGTCGATAAACTCAGTTGTGCCTTTGGTCACAACAAACGTAGCAACAAATTAAACGACGACAGAGTCTGCAGATCACGGTCTCTGAGCAAGACCTAACAAACCTTCGATAAGCGACTAGATCGACAAGTCAAGACAGTAACTACTTGGAGCGAGAAGAGGCATTTCTAGTGACTGAGGGCAGGGGCTCCGTACGTGTGCGCATGGATGTGTGTGCACAGGCGTGTGCGCGTGCACGTGCGTGTGCGTGTGTCTCAGCTGTGGAGCCTACCATCCGGGCCACCGACTGGCTGTCCAGGCATGGGCAGCGCGCTCAGTGTCCTCACATGGTTGCGGTGTGGGGAGCGCAGAGGGGCAGGGACCCCGGGCCGGGCCGTGCCGTGGTGGGGTACTCACGGTCGGGCACTGCTGATTCTTGAACACAACCTTGAACTTGGTCTGGACCTCTCCTGGGATGACCGGCGTGAAGGTGACCGGCACTTTGACGGAGCTGAAGGGGCCGATCTCACCCTCTGTGTTCTGCGTGGGAAGAGAGGCCAGTCGGCCTTCACGTTTCCGTCAAGGCGCTTCCCCCGTCCTCACCCTGGGTCGCGTCACCACCACAACAGTGAGTGTGCTTGGGTGGACTGGGCCTGCCCTTCAAGGACTTACTGCCCAGCATCACAGCAGAACCCCACATGTGTGTACTTGTCCTCTCCATGACCTGGGCCCTGTGCGCACACGCACACACGCACGCGTGCACACGCACACACACACACACACACACACTCCATGCTCCAGGCCCGCCGTGTCTTCTCGCAGTGGACACTCTGCTGCCGGTCCCTCTGCTGCTCCAGTCCTGCCCGGTCCCCTCTTAGGACAGGGGTGGCCGCAGGCTGGCTGGCTGTGCCAGCTGCCCAGAGACTGAGAGGCCAGACAAGCCTCATCGGGCCCTGGTCAAGTGGAAGAGTCTGCCCGGGGAAGGGGGCAGCCGGTCAGGAGGGCACGCCTGGAGGAAGGCGGCCTGTGGGGCAGCGGGCCTTGCTGACCTCTCCTAGCGAGATCTCTGTCGGCTCCTCGTTGTGGGGTATGGTCACGACAGTGTTCACGGTCACTCCGTCGGATTCTGGAAGAGGAGGAGGTCCGGATGAGAGGGCTGGCCGGGCAGCCCATGGGGCTCAGGGGATCTGGCCCCTCCTCCTCCGGGTGCAACAGCTCCCAGCCAGCTCCCTCCCTCAAGCCCCGCTCTGCAAAGAATGACTCAGTGGCATAGGAGGGGCAGAGCGGGGAGGGACTTCTCAGGCGGACAAGGACAGGGCACCATGGCCTCGGGAGCTGGAGACTGGGGGCGGGAGGGGGGTTGCCGAGGCTGTGGGAGGAGAGGTTAGTGAGGAGCTGGCTGTGTGTGGCTGGTGGGGTGCAGTGGTCGGAGGGCCGGAGCCAGAGGAGCTGGAACGAGCCAGCCCTTTCAGGGACGGGGGACTAGAGAGTGGGCTCTGAAGGTTGTCTGGTCAGAGGAGGAAACTAGAAGGCCCAGCAGAGAGGAGCGCTGGGGCCGAGGGAGGGAGGACGTGCTGGAGTACGGCCTGGGGATGGGGACGCTTCTGGTGGCCCGTGGAGCAGAGGCACCAAGGCCTGAGAGTTTACAATGATGCTGCCTTCCAAGTGTCCCAGCCGAGTCCCCGCTACTTAGCATGGCCCATGTGTGTGCTGCTGGCATGTCCCCTACTGGTGGCCCGTGCATGTGCCGCTGGCATGTCCCCCGCTGGTGGCCTGTGCGTGCTGACCTGCCCCGTGGCTATTTGTCAGGAAGGGCCCCTGAAAGCAGATGCTGATTCCTCTTGTCTGAGAAGGTCTTTCTGTGGATTTTTCTTGTCACACAATTTGACAGGAGAGGTGAAGGTCAGCCTGGGCGAGTCCCATGCCTGGGCTGCCTGGCTGGCCACCATGGAGATCCCGGGTGCCCTCTGACGGCCTGCCCCAGGCCTGCCCCTGACACATGTGTGCCCGGTGTGGCAGGACGATTCACCTGCAGGGTAGTGCGCACCGTTTCTGGGGTCTGGGGTTGGTCTGGGCGCCCCCAACTTAGCAGACCTGTCACCCCACTCAGTAGTCACAGCTGTCACCTGGGTGGGGGAGGGGCTGTCGGCTGTCCCCATCTTGATGTTAATGTCCTTGTCTGTTTCAGGGGTAAGAACTAGGACAGCCTGAGGCCAGGGTAGACCTTGTGGTCACTGTTTCATTCTGCGTAGATGGTGGTTGGGATCCCTTGGTGTCCCAATGTGGAACTGTGCTGATCCGTTTGCTAAGAACGCGCAAATTTTCATCAGGTCTGGAGTCGGGCTCAGTAACAGTCGCGAGAACTTCCTTTCGTCATGTGTCCGGTTCTCTGCTCTCCGTCAGAGGAGTGGGTATTTACCCACTTTCGGGGTACAGATACGAGTTTAGATGTGTTTCAACATTTTAGAAAGTTCTCACAAGTCTGTCACTAGATACGACCATTTCCTGACTCGAGGAGACAGCTGAGACCTCCTCCCTCTGTCCTCCGTGGCTTGTACCAGGCGTTCACGTGTCTGTCTGTCTGTCTGGAGTGAGAAGCTTCCCTGGGTCCCTCCTCAGCAATGTCTCTCTGCGGTTTATCCTGTGATTGGGGTTCCTGTTTTGACGATCACGTTCTTACTTCTACAAGCTTTATTGGGTCGTTTTCCAGCCAGCCTCACGTCCTTCTCCGTGAGGGTTTTGCGTGTGGGTGTGAGCGCTTCTCTCTTGCTCCGCGTCTGACCCGCCCCATGGCCGCGCTGCTGTTCTGGGCGCTGAATGACTTCCTTTCCACCCCTTTTTATGAAGGAATCGTTCACCCGCAGGAAAATCCACCCATTTCAGTGTAACCTGCAAGTGTTGACAAAAGCTGACAGTGCAGCCGGCACCGCCGTGGAGACACGGAATGACTCCCTCCCCACAAAGCCCGTGCGCCCCTTTGTAGCCGGCCTGCCCCGACCCGGAGCCACTCATCTGTACGGTTTCGCCCTCCCAGGACGCCACGCAAACGGAGTCACCGTCCGCCGCCTGGGAGCCCGACCTTTCCTGACTGTGGCCCCCTCTGGGATTTGCGCCGCTGCCGCGTCACCAACTTGGTCCCCTGGCGCAGGACGCTGGTTTGTGGCGGTTACAAACAAACCCTCTGGAGATGTTCGCGTACAATCTTCCCTTCCACTATAGGTTTCCATTTCTCTTGGTAAATACCCAGGAGTGGGGTGTCAGGGTTGTGCGATGCTTGCGTACCTTGGTAAGAAAGGGCTAAGCTCTCCCGCGTGGCCACACACCCAGCAGCAGACGGGGTCGCCGCGGCTCCCCACCAGCCCCTGCGGCTCCCCACCAGCCCCTGCTGGGCCAGCTTTTCGCCTTGTTTCTGGCTCGGATCCAGCCGTCCTAATACATGAGCAGTGCAATCCATCGTGGTTTTAAGGGTGCCGACCACCTTCTCACATGCAGAAACACTGGCGACAAACCTTCTTCGGTGAAATGTCTAAGGTTCTGCTCATTTTTAAGAAAAGCTTTTATTTTTATTTATTTATTTGAGAGAGAAAGAGAGAATCCCAAGGAGACTCCCTGCAGAGCCCAGAGCCCAACGTGGGGCTCGATCCTGTGACCTGAGATCATGACCGGAGCCGAAACCAAGAGGACGCTTAACTGGCTGAGCCACCCAGGTGCCCTTCCTGCCCATTTTTAAACTGGGTCATTTGCTTTCTCATTGAATTTTGGAAATTCTTTGCGTATGCCGGGCGTGGTCTTCAGCAGACGCGTCATTCGCTGATATTTCTGGTGGAAAGTCTCGCCTCTGCATTCTCTCAGCACTATCTTCACAAGGGCTGGTGTTTTCAGTTTTAATGAAGTCCGGGTTGTAACTTTCAATTTATTCTATTATTTATTTCAGTTTTTTCATCATGAGACGTGGACTCCCTCAGCCCCGCCCCCTCGTTCCCCCGTCCCCCGGCTCCTCCTCCTCTCCGGTGACCGTCCGTGTGTTCTCTGTAGTCGAGTCTGTTTCTTGGTTTGCCTCTCTCTCTTTTTCCCCTTGGCTCATTTTCCCCTTAAATCTCACCTGTGTGAGGTGACACGGGGTCTGTCTCTGACTTATTTTGCTCAGCACAATACTCTCTAGCTCCAACCGTGTCCTTGCGAGGGGCGAGACGCCGCTGCGGTTCGAGTCCGTTCTCTGCTCCACGTCCTCGTCTGTCTACTCATGCTGCTTTGGCGAGTTCCACAGTTTGGCTCTTGGAGATAATGTCTACACAGGGCCACGTGAGGTGGTATCTTTGTATTCTTTGGTAAGTGCCTAGTACTGACATTGCTGGCTCATAGGGTAGCTCTATTTTTGACTTTTTCCCCCTACTTTTCTTATTTTGACTTTCTGAGGACCCTCCGCAGGGTTTGCCAGGGTGGCCGCGCGAGCCCGTGTCCCCCCAGCAGCGCACGAGGCTCCCCTTCGCCCACGTCCTCGCCAACGCCCGTTGTTTGTCATGTTGTTCATTCAGCCCTTCCGACAGGCAGGAGGTGACAGCTCGCTGTGGCTTTGATCCGTGTGTCCCCGGTGCCGAGTCGCGCTGACCGTCTTCTCAGGCCTGTCGGCCGCTTGGAGATCTTCCGCCCATTTTTGAAATTGCGTTGTTGCCCTTTGGGGCATTGAGTTGCATGTATCTCAGATTTTAGATACTAACCCTATATCGCATGTGTCATTTGCAAATATCTTCTCCTGCTCGGTAGGTTGACTTTCAGTTTTATGGCTGTTTCTTTCGCTGTGCAGAAACTTATTTCTGTGCAGGCCCAAAAGTTTGTTTTTGCTTTTGTTTCCCTTGCCTTAGGAGATGTGTCTAGAAAAATATTGCTATGGTCAGTGTCAAAGAGGTTATTGCCTGTGCTGTCTTCTAGGATTTTGATGGTTCTCATATTTAGGTTTTTTAAAAACATTTTGAGTTTATTTTTATGCTGTAAGGAAGTGGTCCGGGTTCATGCTGCTGCCGGTGGCTGCCCAGTTTTCCCAGCACCGTCTGTTGAAGAGACTGTTTTCCCCATTGAATATTCTTTCCTCTTTTGTTGAAGATTAATTGACCGTATAATTGTGGGTTCGTATTTGGATTTTCTATCCTGTTCTATTGACTTATGTGTCTACTTTTGTGCCAATATCACACTGTTTTAATTGCTACCGCTTTGTAATATAACTTGAAGTCTGGAATTATGATACCTCCAGTTTTGTTTTTCCCTTTTTCAAGATTGCTTTGGCTAGTCACGGTCTTCTGTGGTTCCACACAAATTTTAGGATTATTTGTTCCTTGTTCCAGCTCTGAGAAAAATGCTGCTGGCATTTTGATAGGGATTACATTAGACCTGTGGACTGCAGGACGCCTGGGGGGCTCAGATGGGGAAGCGTCTGCCTTCAGCTCAGGTCATGATCCTGGGGCCCAGAGATCAAGCCCCAGGGAGCCCGCTTCTCCCTCTCCCTCTGCTCCTCCCTTCCTGCTTGTGCTCTCTCTCTCGCTCTGAAATAAATAAAAAACTTAAAAAAAAAAAAAAAAGAAATCGCCCGCGAAGCCGTTTGGTCCTGGCCTTTTGCTTGTTGGGAGATTTTGATCACTGATTCCATTTCATTCGATTTGTCTATTTAGACTTTCTGTTTTTTCCTGCTTTACTTCTGGAAGGTGTATGTTTCTAGGAACTTGCCCATTCCCCCAGGTTGTCCAATTTGTTGGCATATAGGTTTCCTTTTTCTTTTCTTTTCTTTTTTTTTTTTTTAAAGATTTTATTTATTTATTTGACAGAGATCACAAGTAGGTAGAGAGGCAGGCAGAGAGGGAGGGGGAAGCAGGCTCCCCGCCAAGCAGAGCGCCTGATGCGGGGCTTGATCCCAGGACCCTGGGGTCGTGACCTGAGCCGAAGGCAGAAGAGGCACCCACTGAGCCCCGGCACCGTGGCGCACAGGGGTTCGTGCCGTCTGTAGGGGCTGCTTGAGCTTCTGTGGCAGTGGGTGTTATCTCTCCTCCTTCACTGGGGTTTCATTCATTTAGGTCGTCCCTCTCTCTCTCTCTCATTCTCTCTCTCTCTGTCTCATCTGGCTGGAGGTTTCTCAGTTTTGTTGATCTTTTGAAAGAACCAACTCCTGGCTTCATTGACTCATTCTACTGTTTGCTTTTTTGTTTTTGTGCTTTAGTTTCATCTACTTCTGTTCTAATCTTTATTATTTTTTCCTTTTGCTGGGTTTGGGCTCTGCTTTCCTTTTCCTGGCTCCGTTAGGTGTAACTTCCGGCTGCTTGAGATGCTTCGGGAGGCCTTGGGGGCTCCACACTCCCTTCTTAGAACTGCTTCTGCTGCCTCCCACAGTAGGTGGTGATTTCTTAAAAAATAGATCACACTTTTGAGGTCATATCTAAGAAATCTTTGCCCAACGTGCCATTACACAGGTTTTCTCATGTGTCGTGTTCAGAAGTTTCACATTTACGGGGAGGTTAATGATTTGAGTAGCTTCTGTTTACAGCGTGAGGAACGGGTGGAGGTTCATTTGGGGGCGTATGTTTACCTAATTAATGTTCATTTGTGGAAAAGACAGTTTTTCTTTCTCCAAGGAGTGACCTTTGCATCTCTAGTGAAGCTGGACTGGCCGTATGTGTGCAGGCCTACTTTTGGACTCTGTTCTGTCCCTATAAGTCTCTGTGCCGCTCTCTTTGCAGCCACCGAGCACATGGTCCTGTCCCTGTAGCTTTAGAGAAAGTGCTGGAATCAGGTAGTCTGAGCTTTCCAAGTCTTCCAGTCTTTATTGCAACGCTTTTGGGTGCTCTAGGCGCTCTGGGTACCCACAGGAATTTTCGAATCGGCCGTCGATTCCCACTGATGTGGCTGGTGCGGCTCTGCTGGGCAGCTTGGTCCCACACGCGGCCGGTGGGAACCTGAATGGACGCCAACGTGTTGGAAAAGACCTCGCCGTGCGCGAACAAGAGAGAGGCCGCGGGAACGCAGCGGGCCCGCACGCACTCACAGGGACGTTGTGGCGGCGGCGGCACAGTGGCACACGCCCCGAAGCCCCACCCGTGCCTGGGGGCCGCAGGTCTGTGACCTAAGGTGGCTACGGATGAGGATGCCGCGTGGTGGTGGAGACGGGAGGAACCACTGCCATGGCGGCGGCGTGAGCCACGGGAGTGAGTCCTCCAGGCTCTGTTCCCGTGAGGCTGACACGAGAAATCCGCCTTCCTGCGTGTGTGTGGAAGGGGACCTGTCCAGGGAGGCAGGGAGGTGACGGGAACATGGCCACCAGGCGTCGGGGCAAGGCTGGGCCTGCAGGGAATTCCTTCTCCTGCCGGGGGCTGGGGGCCAATGGCGGGGACTCCTCTGTAAACTGTCCTCACGTCATACTGTTCTGGACGGGCAGGGCTGGGGGTGGTCCTAGACAGCGCAGTGTCCCATGATCCTGTCAGTGGAGCCTCCCAGTCTTCCTCCCTCCCCGTCCCCTTTGCTCCGTCCAGTGGCTGCACCCCTGGGGCGGGCTCCTCAACTGTCCCAACAAGGACCCCGAGCCTCCTGTGGCCAGCCTGGACATCCAATGCTGGGAGTTCCTTTAAATATTCATCCAGTGTACCTGTGACTGCAAATTTCACTTCCCTCCACAGCCCGTATTTATCCGAATGTATATATTTCCTTATTTACGATCACTTAACAACCAAGTCCTAGAAAAACACTGCACAGTCCAGCCCTCTGGCACCACAGGGGCTCATGTCAGAGTCCCTAGGAGGCAGCAGGTGCCTGTCCCCCCCAGTGCCCAGCTCACCAGTGGGGCGCCCCTCTTCCTGTTCCTTGCTGTCCAGCTTCCCAGACTCTTTCTGGCTTCGCATGTCTGTGGGAGAGGACTCGTTGCCCTTGATCTGTTGCTCAGAAACGCTGGCGATGATTTTATCGTAAAAACTTTTATCTTCATCGGTGAACACACTGCTCTAAAAAGGGAACATGACACTCTTACTGGCAGTTTCCCATTTGCTTTTCCCACTCTACTGCCCAGACCCCTGTTGCCAGCAGGGCCACGTGGGGAGCCCGGCCATGATCCTCCTCCCTCTCTTCTGAGCCAGGCGTGCAGACCACCGCAGCCCAGGGGCGCAGGGCCCGACCACCCATCTCTGTCCAGGCTTGCTCCTTGCTCCTCCACAGGCACTGATGCCGGGTCTTGGGTCCCCCAACATGCAGCCCATTCCTCAGTCTCTCTCCATGCTGACACTCTGCCCTCCTTTCCTGGGACACGTGGTTTGTCTCCCCATGTGGGGTCGGTGCCCCAGGCCCCAGCTCCATACTCTTGGCTCAGAGACCTGCAGGTCTGAAAGCTGACCCAGCTTGTGCCCACCTCCTCACCCACCATTCTCCTGGCTCTGCTCCGGGTTCACACCCCAGCCCTCCCCACCTCTGCCCCTACCCCACTGGTCCCGTCCCTCCCTGCGGAAGACACGTCCAGGGCCTCTGCTGAGACCCCTGCGCTACTGGACCAAAAGTGTAAGGTAGCTTCAGTGCTTCTCGTAGGAAGTCTCTCTCACCCATCCTCATCCCCGAAAGACCTCCCAGTGCCCATGGGTATGACGGAAGTGTTTCCACAGATGGGGTCCCACCTGTGTTGCTCTGGGGTTGTGTCCACTCTCTCAGCAGCACGTCTGCACGGCCTTCTCATGGGAAGACCATGGCTCACCTCATGCCTTTGGAAAATGTACAGGAGTGGGCAGGGTTTGCCTGTGGCTTTCAGGCCATGTCCTCTTGGCTGGCCTGTCCCAAGCAGGGACTTTACAGGTACATCGGGAGAGAGGTGGGTCCCCTGTGGCTCTCAAGCTTGGAGCTCTTGGCCATTGCCCCATCAGTCACCACACGCTCGAGAGGGGTCAGGGTCCAGGTGCCACTGGACCTGACAGGTAGCCCCTGGTGGCCCCTTATGGAGCCAATTTTTCCCACTTTGCTAGACAATAACACCCAGCCCTGTGTTGACAGGCTCCTTCTCACCACCACTGTTTCATACTCACAGGACTGTCTTGGGTGGGGGGAGGCATCATACCCCGCCCCTGCCTGAGGAGCCACAGCTAACTGCAGGCAACACACTCACCATTTTCATGGCTGACAGGGCGATGCCCATTTCACAGGACTCTGATATCCGAAGAAACTTGAACGTGGTGCCCAAGCCCCCGGTGTTGGTCAGCGTGATAGTCCGGGATGTGGTCTCCCCCACCACATAGCTGCCAAAGTCGATGAGCTCCTTGTCCAGGGTTAGCTGCCGAAAGACCCAGGGATGACCAGGGGGACCATGCCCGACAAACTCTCCTCTCCCACCTGCTGCCCTGCAGCCCCGAGGGGACCCCAGGGCTCTGGCCCCTTCTTCCTACGTGAGGCCAAGTCCTGGATCTGGTTCCAGGGGGACCTTTGCACACCCCAGGGGCAATGTCCACATCCTAGAAATTGTTGGTTTGTGGACTGATCATGAGGATTTAGGAGCTCCTGAGCTCCAACCTAACAGGTCAAGTTAGCTAAAAAGAAATGAGCGATCAAGCCATGGAAAGATGAGAAACCTCAAGTGCACATTACTAAGGGACAGAACCTGGAAAGGGTACATACGGTGATTCCAACTGCATTGCATTCTGGAAAAGTCAAAATTAAGGAGCTAGTCAAGAGATCAGGGGTTGCTGGCCGTTTGCGGGGAGGGAGGAATGAGTAGGCGGCGCACCGGGGGTTGACAGCGCCGGCTCCGTGTGACCGCAGTGGTGACGTGTGGCTGGAGCTTTGTCCAAACCGCAGAAGGCACAGCCGTGTGGGACCCTCAGCAGACCCGGCCCCTGGAGCCCGTCGGAGCCGCCGGAACAAAGGGCCCCCGGGGAGGGGGACGGTGGGGGCAGGGGCACGCGGGAAATCTGGGCGGCTGCCCCTCACGCTGGATGTGAACCCAGAGCTGCTCTCAGTAGTAAAGTCCACTGAAAAATACATCATTTGGAAGTTTGAGGAAATCTTAGGATGGAACGCGGATGTCACGAAACAATCTCGCTTGGTCACAGTTTGAAGAAACAACCTGACTAGAGAGTGGGGAGAGGGTGCTGAGCTGAGTCGCTCCAGGGAGGGTGGGTTCTGTGGGCTGAAGGCTCCAGCCCCGAGTGTGGAGCGTGGGGACTCTGGCAGGAGCACCGTTTCCACGGGAGGGCTTGCTGTCCACACTGCACACGCGCTGGGCTGAGCGACCGGGGCGCGGGCGGTGGCTGGGGGAGCCGCGCTCTCGCTGTGGGACCGGAGCTCACAGGTGAGCCGGGGAAGAGGCCGGAATGGTCCATGCGGGACTGTATTAGAGCAGAGTGACCCGCATGAATGTTTGGGGCAACAGGCCAGCCCCAGCGGCCCCATCTTCTAGGCACCCCTTTCTTTTTCTTTTCCTCCCTCCCTCTCTCCCTCCCTCCCTTCTTTCCTTTCCCTCTTTCTCTCTATTTTAAAAGATTGATTTGTTTATTGAGAGCGTGTGTGGGTGCACATGAACGGGGTTGGAGCGGCAGAGGGAACAGGAGAGAGAGTTGCAAGCAGGTTCTGCACTGGGCACGGAGTCGGACGTGGGGCTTGATCTCACAACCCTGCGATCGCAACCTGAGCCAAAATGAAGAGTCGGAAACTTAGCCAACTGAGCCTCCAGGCACCCCCGTGACCAGTGCTAACGACGCTCTCCAGCTTGAGGCGCAGGGCTATCTGGAGAAAGGACTCTCTCTAGCACGGGGGCAGGAGGTGCGCAGATGAGCCTGGCGTGTTTTCCGTTAAGAAAGGACGTGCTGCGAGACGAGTTCTGAGCACAGTCACAGCCACGCGTCAGAGGGACGTGGAGGACGGGTGAGTCGCTCCCAGGAAGGATGTGGGCAGGAACAGAGAAGTTGTATTTGATTCTAACTCAAAGAGTAAAGTAAAGACGTGATTTTATAAAATAATGAATGTGGAAGAGATGAATCTCCGTTACAGAAGAATTCCAAATAATTCACGTGGCCAGTCAATCCTCAGTGAGCCAGAGAGCGCCTCCCGCCCCTCGAGTCCTCCCACGGAGCACAGTCTGGCAGGAGGGCGGCAGAAGAGAAGCATCATGGGGAGGAGACCTGGCAGCCACACCGAGTCAGGCAAAGGGCGCGTCGCGCTATGAGGCACGTGGTAGTGCTGCCCTTGATGTGATGAGGCCAGAAGCCTGCAGTCCTACTCCCGAAACCCACCACGTCCGTCTGCTCGTGCAATAAACTTCAGACAAATCCCACTGGAGGAGCATTCTACACAGTAACTGACTCCAACTGCCAAGGTCATCAAAAAAGAGAAAGTCTCAGAAACTGTCACAGCCAGAGAGAGGGGAGCCCTCCTACACTGCTGGTGGGAATGCAAGCTGGTGCAGCCACTCTGGAAAACAGCATGGAGGGTCCTCAAAAAGTAAAAAATAGAGCTACCCTACAACCCAGCAATGGCACTACTGAGTATTTACCCTAAAGATACAAATGTAGTGGGGCCTTCAGCTCAGGTCATAATCCAGGGTCCTGGGATCGAGCCCCACATCAGGCTCTCTGCTCAGCAGGGAGCCTGCTTCCTCCTCTCTCTCTCTGCCTGCCTCTCTGCCTACTTGTGATCTCTGTCTGTCAAATAAATAAATAAAATCTTAAAAAAAAAAGATACAAACATAGTGATCCGAAGGGGCACGTGCACCCAAATGTTTGTAGCAGCAACGTCCACAATAGCCAAACTATGGAAAGAACCTAGATGTCCATCCACAGATGAATGGATGGAGAAAATGGGACACACACACACACCCCCACACACCCAAGGGAATACTATGCAGCCATCAAAAGAAATGAAATCTTGCCATTTGCAATGACGTGGATGGAACTAGAGGGGATTATGCTGAGCAAAATAAGTCAGTCAGAGAAAGACAATCATCATATGATCTCCCTGATATGAGGAAGTTGAGGAAAAGAAAGAGGATCATAGGGGACGGGAGAGAAAAACGAAACCAGATGAAAGCAGAGAGGGAGACAAACCATAAGAGACTCTTAATCCCAGGAAACAGACTGAGGGCTGCTGGGGGGAGGGGGTGGGAGAGGGTGGCTGGGTGATGGACACTGGGGAGGGCATGTGCTACGGTGAGCGTTGTGAATTGTGTAAGCCTGATGAGTCACAGACCCGTACCCCTGAAACAAATAATATATGTTAATAAAAAAAACCTGTCACAGTCACAAGGACCCACACAAAGCAGCCTCCATAAGGAACGTGTTATGCAAGATGTGATGTCCAGAAACTGAACATTAGGTAAAATCGATGGAAATCTGAATAATGTGTCTTCTTTAGCTGATAGTGACGATATGTCAATATCAGTTAATACTCTTGATAACTGTGCTGCACTAACACGTTAAAAGGGGAAACTGGCTGTAGGATTGCATTTTTTTCTGTAACGCTAAAACTATTCTAAACAATAAAGTTATTTAAGAAAAACCCAAGCTGGGGGGAGTCTCGAGGGTCGGGAGGACATGCTCGCGCTCAGAGGGTCTGGCAAGGCCGCCGCCGTCCTGGTGACATCAGTGTGCTGTAGGTGCCTCCTTCCGGGAGGGCGCGTGTCCTCCAGGGCACATGTCCCCTTGCCCTCAGGGCCCACAGGCACCTGGCTGTCTGGGCGCTGGCTAAGAAGGTCGAGTGCAGGCTGCCTCCCTGTGGGGCTTTTCTGGGCCCCAGGTTTGGAAGCCCAGGAGCTCTACTCTCCCCTGTGCCCCTGCAGGACAGAAGCTGCTGAGACCAGACAGAGCAGCCTGTGTGCATGTGTGGGTGTGCACGTGTGCGCGTGTGTGGCCGCATGGGGATGTGTGTGGAATGTGTGGGTGTGCGTGTGTGGATGGACTAGGGGGCACGTGATGTGACCTGTCCCATGGTTATGGGTCGTCAGACGTCCAGAAGCCGTGTCTGGACAGAAGGGAGGGGCCGCCCCCAATGTGCTGAGCTGGAGGCAGGGCCTGGGTGGGCCTGGGCGGCTGCCTGGGCAGGGGCTGTGTGTTCTGAGTGTGGGGGCGACAGACAGTCTACCATGAAACCGGGTGGCTGGAGGGGCTCCCTGTGGGCCCCTCTACCCGTTCTCCCTTCCTCCTGTTCACACGACAGACCCCTGAGCATCCGCGGGGCACGGAGCTGCCTGAGGAAGACTCCACAGCCCCGTTGACCTCGCAGCCAGGGCTCACCAGGCGACCACCACTCCCGGCTCATGCGGGGACCTCGCCTTGCCCCCTCCCTCTGACTGGGAAGGGCAATGCCTTGGAAACCAGTTTTGGGGGTGGCAGGGTAGCATGTGGGCCACCTCACCTCTGGGACGGAAACAATCCCTGCTTGAGGAAGCCACCACATGTCGGTCCTGGGTACCCTCGTCCCTGCAGCTCCCCCCGGTGGCCTCACGACCAAAGTGCAGAAGAGCCCGGAGGACACGGGGACCCCGTGCTGGGCGGACTGGGCTGGGGGATGCTGGACTTCTATGTACTTGGAGACGGGCCAGGCCGCAGATGAGTGCTTCCAGGTCCGTCCAGAAAAGAACCCGAGGCCTTGCCCTCCAGGGGAGCTGGGCTTCCCAGTGCCCGGCCTTCTCCCATGACTGAGTCCGGGGTCTGAAGCTTGACTCCCCCACGCACTCACTATTTCTGAGGCTCGTTGCCCAGCAGATAGTGTGCCCCGTGCTGTGGGGCACGTGTCCACACGGTGTGGGGTGGCTTCCAAGCCAGGGAGCAGTGGCCATCCTGGAGGCGGGAGGCCCCAGCAAATGTCAGCTCCCCATGGCCTCCATGAGGCTTGGCGGCCACTGGCAGAGCTGTCACGGCCCGGGGCCACAGCACACATGCTGTGTGTCAACCGAAGCAGGGGCCCGGGGCTGCCATGGCCACGGTGAGGGGGCAAGGTGAGCACCAAGAACAGACACTAAACCACGAAAGCATGTGGAACGCACAGAACCCATGAATCCACGAGGAAACAGGAAGAAAGAGAACCTAACTTGCCACCCTCACAAGCAAGGTCTGTCCCGACTCCTCCTCATGCTACAGACTAGGAAACGAGGGAAAACAGAGAGAAAACAGCAGCTTAGTACAGAAAACGGCACTACCGGCCTTCCCCGGGGTGTGGGAGGCCCAGGCGGTGGGACCGGGGGAGCACGCTGCCCCAGGAGACCCGTCCAGCCTAAGGAAGGGGCTGCTTCAGGCAGGAGGCATGGGCATTGCTAAAACTCTGAGGTGACAGCCACGCTTGCTGGGGAGGGGGCAGGTGGTGCCGCGCTGGGGCTCCGGAGAGCGTGTGGGCCGTCGCCACATTATCGGGAGACTGGTCTTGGCATCAGCACCAGCGGCCGGCTGGAGAAAGTCTCAGAGGACGCTAAGATATGACAACGGGGTGTCGAGTCTGAAAGGAAGCGGCAGAGCCTGGGGGACCGTGGGCCGGTGCCCGCGTCTCGGGGGGCCCAGCAGCAGGAGACGAGGAATACGGCTCCAGGTGCCCGAGTGTGACGAGAGACAGGAATATGAGACCCGCACGGGGACACATTATCATCAGACCTTTGAGACAGAGGGGAGAGGTGACACCAGCGTACATGAGGCCACACCAAGACGGTCGCCAGACTTCAGAAGCCCCAGAGGCCAGAGGGCCGTGGGCCAATGTGTACAAATGACCAAAAGGGAACACCCGTCAGCCAAAACTCTTCTCCAGCAAAACTGTCTTTCCAAAGTGAGAGAAACCGAGACATTTCCAGACGAACAAAAGCTGAGGGACTTGCAAGAAATGTGCCTGGAGCCTGGGGGCCAAACGGAGACCCGGGGAGATCGTCGCTGGAGGCCCCACTAAAGGCGAGCGCACGGGCGACGGGAGGGCTGTAACTGTGGGTTTTGTTCTCTCCACGCACGACGTAGGAGACCGATTTCGCTGCGGCCGCCGCTGCGTTTGTTTTAAGCAGGTATCGGTCTAGAAGCTAATGTTACTGTCGCTTTGGTTTGTAATCCACGTTTTGTTTTCCACGTGAGTTAAGAGACTCATGCAGCCACGACACTGCGAGCTTGCGGTCTTGGACGCACCGTCCCAGGGTGTAGTGCTGGGACGTTCGCACCCGGAAGGGGCGGGCCGAGCCGCGGGGAGCGGACCGTCTGTGCTGTGGCACGAAGCCACGGTGACTTTGGGATGCGGAATGTAATCCCTTGGTAACCGCCACCGCTGGGACAGAGCTACGGATTGTACACGGAAGGGAACGGGAAGGAGTTTAAACATTTGACTCTAAAAACAACCAGCTAAATCCAGAAGACGACAGCGGCACAGGGAATGAGGGCTGGCAGGGTGGAAGCTGGGCCTGTGCACCAGTCCACCTCGACTGGGACAGACACTCTGACCCATACGGCAATGTGTATGAGTCCCGTCACAGTCACAGAAGGTCACAGAAAGTCACAAATGGTCACAGGAGACACCTACTGGGGGATCACACTTCCATAGGCACTGAGCGCTTTCAGATCCCTAGAGACAGAAGGCGAGGAGGGGCCGGGGCCAGAGCAGGGGCAGTGGGGGAGCACTGCCTAAAGACAGAGTTCGTCAGGACAGAGCCGTGGACTTACATGCCACAACTGGTGCCCACGGGGAGCTCCTGCCAGGGACACTGCTGCCTGGATGGGGCTGCCCGGCCAAGCCCAGCCTGCACACCCGTGACCGTAGGACGACACGCTTGCTGCTGCGATTAGCCGCTGCATTTGGGGACGGCTGGTTACACGGCATCACTGCAGGGAGTGTGGACTTCCTTACTCAGGAGGGGCCACGAAGTGCCGGTTTCTGCGGGAGAATGTCCCCCTTTATCCCAGAGACCGGTGGAAGTTCTCTAAGTGTTATGATGTTGCTGGTTTACGTGCAAGCAGATCAGAAGACAGACAGACAGACAGACCGACCAAGCAAATGTGGTAAATGTTGACACAGATGGGATCCGGGCGCAGACATCCTCTGCTGTTTTTCTGCTTTTCCTTACGTTTGAAATTTTTCTTAATTAAAAAAAAGATCCTGGGGTGCCTGGGTGGCTCAGACGGTTAAGCCTCTGCCTTCGGCTCAGGTCACGGTCTCAGGGTCCTGGGATCCAGCCCCGCATCGGGCTCTCTGCTCAGCGGGGAGCCTGCTTCCCCCCCTCTCTCTGCCTGCCTGTCTGCCTACTTGTGATCTCTGTCTGTCAAATAAATAAATAAAATCTTAAAAAAAAATCCTGACAAGCACTGAGCAAGGCATGGAACACTGCTGAATCAACGTCCTGAAACTAATACGACCTCGTCTGCCAGCCACAGCTCAGTAATAAGTTAAAAATATATAAAACGATATTCAAAAGAATCAGTTCCGCAAAGCAAAGGCAGACAAAATGAAAAGGTGACCTATAGAATGGGAGAAAATACTTGCCATCCAAATTATAGGAAGAATTCACACCACTCAATAATGAAAAAATAAACAGTTCGGTTAAAAATAGGCAGAGAACCTGAACATTGTTCTTTCTTTTTTTTTTTTTTTAAATAGAGAGTAAAATTAAAGCTGTTCTTATTGATGAGGCAATCAGGTGGGTGATCGCTGGGGATGCAGCCCTTCTCCACACCCAGCACATGCTCTTCCACAGGAGCCATGTGCACGGCCAACAGGCACATGGAAATTACTCAGCATCGCTCACCATTAGGGAAATGCAGGTCAGCCCACAACAAGGCACCACCTCCCAGCTATCAGGATGGTGAGACTGAGAAACGCCAGAAACAACAGGGGTCGGTGAGGGCATGGAGAAGGGGAATCAAACTGGTGCCGCGACTAGGAAAACAGCATGGAGATTCCTCAAAAAGTTAAACATAGAGCTACTCTGCATTCGGCAACGGCACTTCCGGCAACGCATCCAAAGGCAGCGACAGCACTAACTCAGAAAGACAGCCGCACCCGGATCACAGCAGCATCATTCACAAGGACCAACCAGTGCGGACAACCTACGCGTCTGCCGCGGGCGACCAGACGGATAAAGTCGATCTTGCCATTTGGAGCAGCGTGGATGAGCCTTGAAGGCTCCGTGTGAAGTGAGACGCGGCAGGCAGAGAAAGACAAATGCGGTGTGGCCTCCCTTCCATGCGGGATCTACAAAACCCAAGCTCACAGACGCGGATGGCAGCGCAGTGGCTGCGGGAGGCAGGGTGGGCAAAACGGGGAAGGTGGCCCTCAGGTGCAAATTTCAGCTATCAGGCCTGGGGATGTGATGCACCCCATGGTGACCATCGTTTAAAAGGGAAATTGAGGGGACCTCACGGAATTGCTGGGAGCCTGGCATGTCCTGAGACGAGCCCCCAGGTCTCCTGCCGTCTGGGCTTCCCGGTGTCGGGAGTGCTCACCTGCCCAGGGTTTGGCCCCAGCCTCACGGGGGCTGCATGAGATGGAGCAGGGACCCGGGACACACCATAGAAATGCCACCAGGGCCTCCCCAGAGGCGCTGGGTCGGGCGTCTCTGCACTTACTGCACATTTCTTCGTGGAACACTTCAGCGGAACAGAAAATCCCCCTGTCTGAGCCATAAATGAGACGTTTCCTTCCAGATCTTTGTTGATCTAAAAAATAGAAACCCCCAACCACTGTGACTTTGTAACTTGACCCAGAGACACATGCTGTGGCTCCAGGACCACAGGCTGGACCTGGGCATCCACACGGTGGCCAAGGGAGCCTCGCACTGGCCGGGGCCCACTAGAACATTCCAACACGCCCCATTTAGACCCAAGAACAGCACCAGATGGCACCTGCTGGCTAGCAAACATCAGGGCAGGCTTGTAATTCTTCCTAACATCAGGAACGTGGATGACCATGTTTGGAACTAGAACAGGGGCCTGTGGGACCCCTATGGAGCCCTGTGTGTCCCTCCTCCGTCACCACAACAGTGTCTGCAGAGCCTGGGGAGGGGCAGAGACCTGGTTCCCCCCCCACCCACTCACGATGGAGGAAAGTCCCTTCATACCGTCTGGTTTTGGAACAGACACTCACCATGGGCTTGAAGGTGACAAGTACTTCGCAGGACATCCCAGCTGACATGGGACCAGGGGGATCAAAGCTGTGGGTACAACCATCTGTGTGACACGCAATCAGATTGACAGGGAACGTGTGGTTGGGCTGGAATCAGCTGCGCAGTAGCCACGGCCCAGAGTAGCCACCGAGCGGGCCTTCTGGACCCCTTCCTGCCCGTCCTAGGCACCGAGCCGCAGGTCCCAGGGCCCAGGACACACTCACATAATGGGTGCAGAGGGAGGGAGGGGCCGGGTGCCATGCAGTAAACAGCAGTGCCCCCAGGGGACACGAGTGTACCCGCCTGGAGCCAAGGGCAGGATGTTAATACCAGTGTGAGGGCTGTGAGCCAGGCAGGGGGCTGGCACTGACCCCGCACACAGTCAGGACCCTCAGAACCGCGCTTGCAGTGAAAGATCCCAAGAAAGAGCCCCAGCTCCCACAGGGAGACTCAGGGGGCGGTCAGCCTGCCTTGGTCTGGAGCCTGAGTGAGGAAAAGAAGCTCCCAGAGAATTCCTACAGTGGGGAGTACTTGGCGTTGGGTTAGAAATGTATAAGCTACGATTTGGTGTAATTGTCTCCTCCTTGGCTGGTAGTGACCCACAGCACCAGGCAGAACCAAAACTTGTCTGTGTGGGAAGGAGGTTTTCGACGCCACATCACAGAGACCCCCTGGGGGAGGGCAGAGTCCCACTGGTGATAAGATGGGGTTCCCTTGTTGGAAAGGACACGTGGACACCAACAACACACGTGCAGACGGCAGGGCCAAACTCCAAGGGCCTCGGGTAAAAGAACGACTGAATGGTGACTTTAAAAGATGTCATGTTAAAATGACCAAGGACAGAAATAGAGAACCACAGACATTGGAAAGGAGCCAGACGTGGTCGCGAGGTAGCCACTGGCCTGAGGCAGGGTGCAGGGCTCCTGGAAATGAGAAGTATGACCACTGACGCAATCTCAACAGCCAAGTAGACGCGGAGGGAGAAGGGCTGACTGAGTGTCGGCCTCGAGAACACACCTGGACACCAGCTGGGGAGACGTCCACAGCTGTTCAGAGGTCTGGGTCCTCAGTGAGCCCTAACGTGTCTAAGAAAACCAACCCAAGCCTGCTGTGCTTTGGAGGAGCTTCAGGACCCTGGAGACAAGGAGTCCAGAGGGAAAGCCAGACACCACCCAAGGGCTGGACCTTCGGGCTGACACCGACGTGCCAGCAGAAGCCACAGGAACCAGAAGATGGGGCGGGGGGACAACCTCAGGGCAGGACTCCAGCTCCAGCCCCACTGCGGAGTGCTTCGGGTGCTGAGGGAGCAGACACCCTGAGTCGGGCCCCTAGACACCCCCCAGAGACCCACAGACCAGCGTGAAGTCCGAGTAGACCACAAGTAAATCCTGCGCCTCCAGCATGACGGCAGGACGGCAGGACAGAATAATGGGGCCAGCAGCAGTTCCCAGCTGGGCTCTGCCCACACAGACCTTTGCAGATGGCACAAGAGCCTACAGCACTGCCGGAGAGAGAGAAGGGGGAACGCAGATGCCCGTCTGACCTACAAGCAGCCCCCAGAAGTGGACAGCATGTCCCGCATGGGAGAAGCTGACCAGAGCCCAGGTCAGCGAGCACAGAGTGCAGGGACAGGCGGTGGGGATGGGCGGTGGGGACCTGCCCTGCACCCACGCGCTCCAGCCAGGAGTCCTAGAGCTGTCCCGGATCATCGCAGGCTTCCAAATGCATCAACTAAAAGCTGGTGGAAACCAGGAAGAAGCTTTTTTAAAACCGAAGGCAAAATGCTAAGGAGCAGAAGCAAAGAGAGACATTGCCGCAGACACAAGCAGGTCAGCACGAGAGAAAGGAGGGGAGAAGTAAAGCAGGGGAGAAGCAAGCGTTAAAGGGGACCAGGTAGATGTGAAAAGGTCCAACTCACGCACCAGTGGGGTCGTAGAAGAAGAACGTAGAAGCACGGTGACAGAGAGGACACACAAAGACAGCTGGAGGGACTGTCCTGAGGCAAGGATGGCTTTAACCTTCTCATAGAAAAGGCCCAACAACCACCAGGGACATCTTACCCAGAGTGGGCGGCACCAAAACACGGACAGGGAAGAAATGTGGCTGCCACAGCCCTGATCACGCCGGCGGGGGCTGACCCCAGACAGGACAACCCAAGCTGACAGACTGGGCCGCCTCCCAGCGGAAGGCATTAGCCCAGACCAAGGCCACCTGGGTGTGGGGTAGCAGCTCTGACACACAGGGGACCGCACCCCCCGGGCCTCGCCCCGTGGCCTCTCACTGGATGTGGATGAAGTCCTGGAGATGCTCCTCCACGCCCACCAGCTTGCAGAAGTTAATGGTGTAGGTGGCGTTTGTCAACGTGATCTTTTTCTTGTACACTTTGCCAATATCAAAATCCTGGAAAAACCAGAGAAGTTCTTCTGAGCACGTGGCAGCCTCTCCCCATGTGCCCTTACGCCCGCGTGCTGAGGACATGAGGACGCCGGCAGAGACAGCATGGGGAGCACCCTAAGAGCTCAGCAACAATTCCCAAGGTCTCCCGACTTAGGAAGGGCCTCCGGAGACTCGGGAAGAGCCCAGAGAGCGGGAGCGGGGAACAGCTCCCCAGGGACCTCGGACAGCATGGGGTCGGGGCTGGCACCGGGCTCTGTGTCACGGAGGGGACAGTGTGCCATCCCAGGAGCCCGCCAGCACCCTGTCCTGCAGAGTCTGGTGACTGAGACGACGTGTGAGCGCTGACCTCCTCACGTCCCTTCCCAGGGAGGCCATCGGCTGGGACGAGGGCCCTCCCGGGGCTGCTGTCTGACCCCCCAGCACCTTCAGCACGGGGGTGCCGGTAGTGCCACGCCCCGACTGCGGCCCTGCGGGCTCTCGGGCTCACCTTGAAGTGGACGAGCCGCGGCTTGCTCTTGAAGGGGCGACCTCGGAACTCGCGCCCGGACACCACCTGCCTGTGGGTCACTCGGCTGCGCAGCTGCTCCACGGTGCGGGCCAGGATGTCCTTGTCCATCTTCGTCCCCCCCACAGGCTTCCGGTCTACCTCCTCCTTGGGCACCTGAGGTTCCAGGAAACGGCAGCTGATACTCGAGGGCCAGCCCGGGTCCAGCGAGGTGCTCTCCCCGCGGCCGAGAGCAGCTCGGTCAGTGGCTGCAGAGGTTAGCGGCGCAGAGCCGGGGCCGGAGCAGCTGAGGGACAGCCTGCACTGCCCGGCAGGCCGCTCAAGGAGCCCAGCGATCGCGAGGCCAGCGGTCCCTACTTCAGACAGAAAGGACAGATGGGAAGAGTAGACCCATCCAGGGTCCCAGCAGATTTCTGGGAAGTAATGGCAGGCCAGAGTTTTCTAGATTTTTGAACAGTTTATTTATTTATCTGTTTTTATTTATTTACTTTTTTAATTTTTTTGGCAGGAGAGCAGCAGAGGGAGAGAGAGAATATTTTTCTTTTTTAAGATCTTATTTATTTATTTATTTTAAAATAAATTATTTTAATAATTTAAACAATTTAAATAAATTTAAATTTAAATACATTATTTATTTTTAAATTTATTTATTTGACAGAGACAGAGCGAGAGAGGGGGCTGTGGGAGAGGGAGAAGCAGGCTCCCTGCTGAGCAGGGAGCCCGACACGGGGCTCCATCCCAGGACCCTGGGACCATGACCAGAGTCCAAGGCAGACAGTCACCAACTGAGGCCCCCAGGCGCCGCAGGAGAGAGAAAGTCTCAAGCAGGCTCCGCGCTGGCCCTGGGCACCTCAGTGCTCAGGTACCATCTGACTCTCGATTCTGGCTCAGGCCGTGATCTTGGGGTTGAGAGACGGAGCCCGGGTCAGGCTCCACGCTCAGTGGGAAGTCTGCTTGTCCCACTCCCTCTGCCCACACCCCACACCCCCAGCCGTGCTCTTTCTTACTCTCTCTCACATAAATAAATAAATCTTTTAAAAAAAAAAATAAAGAGCTAATGTCTCAGTAGCAACAAAGCAAAATAAAAAAATGACGTGGAGGCTTAACTGATTGAGCTACCCAGATACCCCAGTTTCCTAGATTTTTAAGCTTTTTAAAAAAATATTTCATTCGTGTTGAATTAATTAGGACAGGGTCAATGAAGATTGTCTAGTGGACATTCTTTTAAACATCTCCTTCCAAAGGGCCACGTTCCCATTAATTCTTGGCCTTGTGACGGCCACTGAAGTTGTGCACTTAAAGGCTCTACGTTCTGCTCTGCAGCCCGACAGCTTCATCTTGCCTCTAGGAATAGTTTGAGAAATTTTGGGAAATATCTGTTGAAATCCAGAAACACTGTATCTTAGAAATTTCTCTGACCTTTGAGAATGGCAACCCTGTCAAAAATAAGTAAATAAAACAAACAAAAAAAAGATTTTATTTACTTGACAGAAAGAGAGAGCACAACCAGGAGGAACGCCAGTTTCCTAGATTTTTAAATCAGGCCAACAGGAAGGTTTGGAAATGTGCAGCAGGGAGCGGCACAAATAAGACTGTCCCCCTGGGCGACGGGACTGAGGGCACGGGGCTCAGTCTGCAGCCTTGGCTCCAGGCCATCAGGCGCCCCGCATTTCCAACCTCGGGTCCTGGAAGCAGGAAGCGCTCACCTGGTACGGCTTGTAGTCTTCCTTCCAAAGCCCGGGGATCTCTGGCTCGGCCAGCGTGTCATCTTCCCAGCTGGTGTTCCCGGGGTCTCCCTGGACGGACTCACTGGAAATGGCTTCCAGTAACTGTGAGGCTCTGGGGGGTGTGGCCCCGTTGCCATCCTGTTGTTGGGGAAGAGAATGTGGTAACTAATCACAGAAAATAGGGACGTTACAGATCAGCGAGAAGAAAATAACCCTCACAGAGAGCCCCTTGGGGCTTACCCGGGGACCGGAATACAGTTTGTTTTGTAACTTTTCCCATTTAAAATGTAAGTATCTTGGGACACCTGGGTGGCTCAGTGGGTTAAGCCACTGCCTTCGGCTCAGGTCATGATCTCAGGGTCCTGGGATCAAGTCCCACATCGGGCTCTCTGCTCAGTGGGGAGCCTGCTTCCCTCTCTCTCTCTCTCTGCCTGCCTCTCTGTCTGCTTGTGATCTGTCAAATAAATAAATAAAATCTTTAAAAAAAAATGTAAGTATCTTTATACAGCATTAAATATTTTTCTCCAACACCCACAAAAGAATCCACAAGACACCAACTGGTATCTTCTCACCAACCCTTAGTTTTGCACAATTTCTAATTTTTGCTCCTATGAACCACACCCCGGAAAAGTCCTTCACGGCTACCCCTCGGAGGACGCCTGGTCCTGGGACTGGGCTTCAGTGGGGCCTGGGCACAGCCTCCCTACAGGGCTCCCAGTGTGGACGGGCAGGGAAGGCTCCTGGGGCAGCTGGCTGGAGACTCCGGCCAGGGGGCCAGAGGGCCCGGGGGGGCAAGAGGAGGAAGCGGCAGGGAGGAAGGCCCGGAGGTGAGGCAGCTCAGTGTGGACACGGGGCCGGGGAGCAGGGGAAGACTGAAGACCACCTCGGGACAGAGTGAAGGCCCCACAGAGGCCGAGGGCAGTGCCCCGAGGGGCTTTTCGCGGCCGTGCATTGGTTGGAGCCAGTGCCCCGGCCCTCGAGGTTTTGGGGTATACAAGGGCAGAAGTGCCGCCCTGGGCCCAGGCGGGGGGCCTCATGTCCCTGCCCCACATCCCCAAAGACAGGTCAATAGGTCAGCTGCCGGGGGCTGGCCGGAGTTGGCCCTCAGTAGGGATGGCGGCGTGAAGGGATGAGGGCATGCACGAGAAGGAGGACGCAGGAGTCTGAGGCACAAATGCCCCCTGGGCCGGGACTGGCCTCTGCTCGTTGGCCTGTCCCAGTTACATAGGGACAGGTCGGGCGACCGGAGCCACCATGTTGCAGGCGATGCTTCCTCCAGTGGAGTCCCCAGGGGGAGGCTCCCATGTGGATGGGGCACCAGAGACCTGGGTCTGTGTGCCTGCGGCATCACCCAGGAAAAGACAGCTCTCTGGTGGGCGCCCCGTGGCCTGCCGCCCCACCTGCTGCGGAGAGGACACGCCCGCCCCCGTGGGGTCCCCCAGCAAGGACAGCCTGAGGAAGAGCACACTGGAGACATCCTGGGGCAGGACGGGCAGTTTCTTCCGTTGGATCTTAGCCGGAGGGGTTGATACAATGACTCCAGGTCCCGGGCCCTCGGGTCATCCGTCTGCGCCCCTGGAGGTGTGCACTTTTGACGGGCAAGGGCTCCCGGCTCACCAGCAGGTGACAGTAAGGGACTGCTGTGTCCTTCCCTTCACAGACGTCCGTGATGTAACTCCACGTCTTCTCCCGCAGAGTCGGCTGGTCCCGGGCCTTGGCAGGGGACGACTGTTTCCTCTTCCTGCTCTCTTCCTTGGCCTCCTCTTTCAGAATCCGACCTACGATCTCTTGCTTTCTGAGCCTCTGCTCTTCCTCGAAGGTGCTGTGGGAAAACACCATGTGGGCCAGAGCGGGCGAGATGCACGGTTTGATCGGCTTCTGGGGTGGGGGGTTGTGGAGGCAGGTGGCCCCGGCTCAGCACAGTGACCCTCAGGAGATACTTCCGCAGGGACCCAGGTCCAGCCCCCGGGCAGAGGTTGCAAGGAACTGGTCCTGGCTCGAGCCCCTGGCTCCTGAGGGAGCAGATGAGGCCAGGAGGGCTGCCAGGCTGGAGACCCAGGACTTAAAATTCCAGCCCAGCCTGGCCTAGGCCCAGGACCCACAATAAACCTGACCCCACAAGTGCGGCCCCGGGCCCCTGGCTTCCAGGCTGGCGGCTGGGGCACACCCACTGAGGCACAAAGCAAGGCCACACTCACTCATCCCGGCTCCTCCCCGCTGGCCCTCCCTGTGCCAGGCCTGTGCCAGACGGCGGGGGTCGGGGGCTTTGGTGGAGCTGCCCTGGGGAGCCTGTAGTGGGGTGGGGTGATGGCAAAGCTCCTGTGGTGACACTCAGGGCACGGTGACTCCTAGACTGGAGATGCTGTCCCCAGGGAGACGACCAGGAGGCCACCCCTGGGTAGACCCTAACGGTGGCCATGATGGGTTGGGGGCTGGGGGGCTGGTAGTGGGAGAAGGGACACGCCCCACAGGAGGTGAGCAGGGGCAGAACACTGATCTTGGGATCTCGGGAAGCCCACGCCTGTGGGGGGCTTGGGGGCGGGAAGCAGGGCAGGGGCAGCCTGGGGGGCGAGGTACGGGGGGGGTCCCAGGGGGAATGACAAGGATGCAGGATAGTGAGGAGGCTCAGTACCGGGTGCCCTTTTGGAGGAAATCAGAAAGGGGAGCCCAGGAGGGTGAGCCCAGGCTACCCAGAGCCCCCGAGAGGAGGGTCATGGACCGCCCACAGACAGGGAGAGCGAGCCACTCTGGGGTCTCAGGGCAGCTCTTGAGATACCGGGAAACCAGGCCAGGAGCCTGAGGATGGCTGCGCCGGGGAGACAGGGCCGGAAGGCTCTGGGGCCCGGCGGAGGCCCCATGTGGGGGGTCTGGGGCGCAGGGTGTGGCGGGACGGCTGGAGCCTCCATGCGAGGGGGAGCCCCGGGAGGGAAGCAGCCTGCCTGGCTGGGCTGGCCCAGGGGCCCCTCCCCCGGAGCGCGCCTCGCACTCACCGGTTCTGGGCTTCCAGCTCCTGGCACCTGCGTTGATGGAAAAGGTGTCTGAAGGCGTCGCCACCCTGGGCCAGAACCATCTCCTTCTCTGTCTGGGACTTCTGCTCAGCCAGCTCCGCCTTCGCCTGGCTCCATGCTTGAAATTTCCGGAGCGTTTCCTTGGCAATAGAGAGCATTGGCACACACACGTGCACACACCCCCCGGAACTTTCTGTCTCACTGGGGAAATTAAACTAGCTCTGAGATTCCTGAAGACAAGTTTGCAGAGCCCCGACCCCTCACCGGCCCCCCGCCCCACCCACTGACCCTCCCTCCTCAAGACCCTCAGGGGCTTCCTGCAGCCTGAGGGCGCCGACTGCTGTCTTCTGCTGGCCTCTGCCCACTGGTTGTTTCTTGGCCTCCCTGGGTTTCCCACCAAGAGGCCTGCTCTCTCTTGCCTCTAAGCCTTGGCAAATGCTGTTCCCCTTCTTCCCCTCTCCACGTTCCAGGCCCAACTGCCATATCTGAGGCCCCGGGGGTGTTGCTTCCTCCAGCAAGATCCTGGACCCCTGCCCACGGCCTCAGGAAGCCCTGGTCCTCCTGGAGCCTTGTCGCCTTGTCATCACTCCTCCCACAGACCAGGTCCCCTGAGGACAGGTCTGGGGGCTTTCTTCCTGCCCAGCTAGGACCTGGCTAGGGCCAGCACAGACCGGGGGACAACAGATCCTTGGGGGAGCGACTGAGTGGGGAGTCTGAGGACATGGGACTCCCGTCTGGTGGAGCGGGAACTCAGGAAGACGCGGCAGGGCGGGCCAAGCAGTGTGCAGGTGTGGAGCCCTGCCCGGAAGGACACACGCCTGCCTGGACAGGCTCCTGGAGGGTTGCACAGGGCCCTGAGGGTGTCAGGAGGCTCTTGGGCTGTCCCTCCAGGGATGATGGCTGTGAGCCGGGCACCTACCCTGTTGGCTGTGATGCTGTTCTTCAGGGCCAGGACCGCGTCCATGCGCCTTCTCATGTGTGCCCGGGCCTCCTTCTCCTCCTGCTCCTCCTGCTCCCGGCATCTGGGGGAAGGCGCATTTTTCACCAGAAGGACCAAAATCTCATTGATGCGCAAGAACAGGACCAGGAGGAGCCTGGGGGTTGGGCATGTCCACCAGGGAAATAATGGACTGTGGCGACATGGAAGGCACAGTGCTGTGTGGGGCGTCTGTCTGTCCGTCCGTCCGTCTGTCACGAGGACATGCGGAGACACGTCTCCCCGGACTGGAGGCTGTTGCCGCCTCATGGGAGGTCCTCTTCTGAGAACAAGCAGGTGATCAGCTCAAAACTAAAAACACAGTTTTATTATTTTTTAACAGTAAGGTGATGATTTAATAATAAAATTGGGGAATTTTAAAACAAAAACGAAGGATCCATTCTTCTGTTTCTCCTCTGGGGTATCTACGGGAAGAGAGTCTGAAAATGCTACCTTCTCAGGGAAGCCTTCAGGAATTTCACTGCCGTCTTGCGATTCCTCTGGGCGTCTTCCACCAGCTTCTGGTGCCTAAGCCCGTGCTCCTTCTGGAGGTACGTGGACTTCCTGTGGGGGCACAGGGCAGTGGGAACAGACACGCGTGAGCCTCAGCTCTGCAGGGGCCACGCCCACCTGGAGAACAGGTGTCCAGAAGGGCCAGGCTGGTGACACCTGTGTGCTCGTGCCAAGGGCAAGGGCCAAGATGGGGACACGGGGCAGGACGGGCACCACGGACAGGACCAGGACCCAACTGGAGGGGAGGGGTGGCTGAGGACCCCATGAGCGACAGGGTCTTGGTTCCCAGAGCAATCTGGCAGCGGACTCGCTGGGACGGGGAGGGGAAGAGTGGCGAGGACCTCGGGAAAGGAGCTGGGGGCTGTGCCCAGGGAGTGGGGTGCTCCCTTCACAGTGGGACGGGGCCATGGCGCACGTGCGGACGTGCCCTGCCCCGCTCAGGAGTGGCCCAACAGGAGGCCCCCGCACCCCGGGAACTGCGGGGTCTGAGCCCTTGGGAGTAGCCCGAGGAGGAAAGGGAAGGAAAAGAGGGTGTCAGGTCCAGCAGGGGGAGGGGTGGCGCTGAGGAGGACTCCGGCCGGGCCATGGGCTGGGGCAGGGCTCAGCGGGGACAAGCCAGTCTCTCCAGAGCCACAACGCCCGCAGGCCCTCAACACCCACCTCACCCTCAGCAGCCTGTTCCACTCCGCCTTCTCTGCAGCCTCCTCCTCCCTGCGGAGCTGCTTGGCGGCCTGCTCCCAGCGGCGCTTCCTGCCAGCCGCCTCCTCCTCCCAGGCAGACTTCCGGGCATCCTCGAGCTGTCTCTCCTGGATGGCAACGTGCCACATGCTGCTCCTTCAAACAAGAGACACTTCTGTTTGTGTCGGTGACGGTGTGGGACACCTGGGCCCGCACCCTCCGTGGAGTGTCCACTCCAGGGGTCTGGGAGGGCCTGGTCAGCCAGTTTTGACCAACACCGATGAAGGTCGGCTTGTCCTCCTGGGAGCCCTCTGGGCCTGCAGCTGCTGGAGAGTGAGGCTCCCCCTTCACCTCAGCACCTGCGGCCCCTGCCCTGCTTGAACCTGGATCTCCACCTGGATGGCCCATGGGCACCCACCTGCCCCGGCGCCCACCTGGCCTGTGGACGGGGCGACATCCTGAAATAGGCCAGGGGCGCAGGTGGGAGACGCTGGCCTTGAAGGGGGCTCCCTGTGGTACTGGGACATGGAGGGGAGGGGGGCTGGGGTTCTGGGGGTTTCTGGGCTCTGGCCATGGATGGGTGGCAGGAAGGTTTGGCTGATTGATTATGGGGTCCCTAGGCCTGAAATAGATGGGGGTTTCACTAAGGTCCCACTTTCTCCAAATAATAATCTCCAAATAGCATGGTCAGTCAGAGAGAGGTAACTGTGACAGGAAGGTCAGAGGGCCAGACGCATGCGGGAGGTTTTGGGAAGGTACACAGACTCGGCCCCTTGGGGCTGAGCACCCAGTCCACCCGCAGCAGAGGGCCGGCCAGGCTGCACTCTGCACACGCCCTTCACGACGCAGACGGTCCTGCCCCGAGCTGGGCATGGCGGTCTGTGTTCTGGGGAACAGCCGCTTTCTCTGGACACAGAACTTCCTTCTTCACCTGCGTCCCTGTCACTGCTGCGATTCCCTGAGAAGCACAGTCGCTCAGCTCACCGTGCGCCACCATGACACCATGCGATGGCATCATCTTAGAGACGGAAGTGCCCAGGTGAGGAGGAGGCTCAGTTCCCCACATGCCAGGCGCCTGCGGGCTCGATGGCTGGTTCTGCCAACACCACGTCTGGACGCCAACTTGAGACTCAACACGAGGTGGCCAGTTCCCAAGGCGACAGCCCGTGACTCTGCGTCCCGTATGCACACCCTGAGCACCTGCCCCCACCTGGCCTCTGTGGATCCAAATGTGGCAGCGGGGATAGCACGTCACTTCTGAGATGACACCGGGGCTTTGGGTTTGCTACTTCCACTCCCCCTCCACATTGCTCACCTGGGGGGGCTGTTCCGAGAAGCCCTAGGAGGAGGCCTCTGTTGGGGACAGCTAAGTGGGCCCGGAAGCTGACCCCCATCCAGCCCAGTGAGCCTTCAGATGCCACTAACTTGACTGCCATCCTTAGGGGAGACCTTGAGTCAGAACCACTCAGCCACACTGCTCCTGGCTTCCCGACCCTCTAGAAGGCTGAAAGAATGCTTGTGCTCAACTGTGGACGCACTGGGTTGCCGCTATGCACAGGAGTGCAGATCACCTGGACCCTGGCCACGCACAGGAGCACAGATGGATCTGGGAATCTGACAAGGCAGGACCACAGCTTTTTTGTGGCTCTGGTGAAGATGACTGCCCAGCTGGGTGCTGGCTGGTGAGCCCTGGCCTTGGGGCCAACTGTCAAGCAAGGGCCACGTAAATGCCTTCATCCTCTCTGGCTTGCTCACAGAAGGATCCACCATCCAGGCCACCTTCCTCTTGTTCCCTCCTCTCTCTAGATTATGGGGAGGGGGCTGTGCTTTAGCCCATAGGAGCCGGGGATCGGGCTGGACTGTGCTGAGCTTCCAGAAGGGAGGGGTTCCGGACTGATCCCCGGCCCCGAGACTTGCTGGGGGCCGCCATGGTTCTTCTAGCAGAGGTGTGGCCTGCGGCCGACGCCCTATCCTGGTCCTCTCTGTGCCTTCCTGCGTGTTTCCCAGAGGCCACCTGGCCAGCGCTTGGGGGAGGGGGCCCCTATGCAGGCGGAGCAGGGCACGAGGGACAAGAGCTCTGACCCGTCCTAGATCCCTTTCTTGCTTCAAGGAGCTAGAGGCAAAGCTGATATTTGCAATCTGGTCTGCGAAACACTGAGGACAACGCAACACTCTCTCTTCTGGCGGAGCCTTCACAAAGGTTGTGAAACACTTAAAAAAATGTTTTTTAATAGAAAGAAAGTGTGGGGGCGGGTGGAGAGAGAAGGAGGGAGCACGTCAGGCTGACCCCCGCTGAGTGCAGAGCCTGGGGCGGGCTCCCTCTCAGGCCTGAGACCACGACCTGAGCCCACGGCGCGGGACCAGCCAGACGCTTAGCTGACTGAGCCGCCCGGGACACCCCTGAAACACTTGTGTAAAACAGTGCTGGGGGCTCTGTTAGCACAGGACAGGAAAGGGGGAGGAAAAGCAGATTTCACAGGTCTCCTAATGTATACAAACATGGAGAACGTGGGCAACACTTCAAAAAACGTGAAGTCTTGTCCTTTCAATGACTGAACGAGCTCCTTCCAGGTCCAGGGCAGTTAGAGGTCAAGCTGAAGGCTCCCGCCCGCCCACCGCACCACACTCACTCGTCCTTCCGCAGCAGCTCCCTGATCTGCGCCTGCAGGACTCGCTCAGCGTCCAGCTCCCTGCAGAGGCGTCTGGACACCGCCTGGAGGCGGCCCACGGCTGCACTGCTGAGACACAGGGGCAGGGGAGCAAGGGAGGCAGGTGAGGGCGGCTTGGCCCCGAGACCCCCGGCAGCCACCAGGGTGGCCTTCTCCTGGCCTTTTCATCTTCCTGAGAGAAACCTGTCTAAACCTGCCAGCGGGGATGGCAACGGGTGCAACGTCCTGTGCCCACTGCCGGCTGCTTGGCCAGTCATAGAACTTGCCAGACAACCTGCCCGCGTCACGCCACGGCCCACTCTCCCCCAGCGCCAGGGGCCAGCTCCAGCCTGTCCGAACTGCAGGCCACTCAGATCCAGGAAGGACCCGGCGCCCCTGCCCCAGGACTGCGCCGGGAGGCCAAAAAGCCAGTGGGAGACTCTCGGTTCTTTTTTTTTTTTAAAGATTTTATTTATTTATTTGAGAGAGAGGCAGTGAGAGAGAGCATGAACGAGGAGAAGGTCAGAGGGAGAAGCAGACTCCCCGTGGAGCTGGGAGCCCGATGCGGGACTCGATCCCGGGACTCTGGGATCATGACCTGAGCCGAAGGCAGTCGTCCAACCAACTGAGCCACCCAGGCGTCCCGAGACTCTCGGTTCTAAGCCCACTCTGCGTCCTCTCACGTCATTCCCCTCTTGCATGCTGCAGTTGGGGCCGGCCAGCGCACCACCCAGTCGTCCTAACCCCTGGTGTGTTCTGACGTAATGACAGGGACACTGTGATAAATGTGGTAGCCAGGGGGGCTGCCTTGCGGGAAGAGCCTAGGATGATGCTGCCCACAGGACCCGGCTTGTGCGGGTACCACGACGGCTGGGGAGGGGCTGTGAGCTGCTGGTCGGTCCAGGCATCGTTTCCGGACACCTGGCCTGCTGTGTCCACAGAATCAGGAGGATTTCAAAATCCTACAGAAGAGCCTGTCTCTCCCTGCGGGGGCTGGGCTGCAAGCTTCCCAAAGCTGCTGCTCCAAGTACTAGCGGGCTCCTGGCCCTGTCTGTCCTGCGGCCCCTGGAACCCCAGCACCTAGTGGCCAGGAGCCCCATCAGCCCTCCTGGGGCCAGTGGGGCCTGGCGCTGGCCCCTGTGGCGGACGCTCTTCCCTCTCCTGGCAGCAAGTGGAGCAGCTGCCCTCGGCCTCCAGCTCAGAGCGCCGGGACCAAAGTCCCATGGCATGCATCCCTTCTTAGCAGGGTGACCCTGGGCAGGTCACTAGTGTCCCCAAGTCTCTCCAAGGGCTGCTATGAAATTACAGGGCTGAAGTGCGAGGACACCATTTGGCTCCCAGGGGCACTCAGCGCATCTGCGGACGCCAGCCCCATGTGCGTGTGGAGCTCCAAGCCGGTGTGTCTGTGCAGCAGCCACGCAGACACTGGACCCCCCTGCCTGCCCTGTCCCCTAGTTTCGGTAGAGGCACCACCTGGCTGGGTGTTCAAGGCAAAGCCAGTCCTGACGTTTCTTCCCTGAAGCCCACTAGTACCCCTGCACTGTCCCCACAGAGTGGACCCTCTGTTGGGTGCTCCTGGGGCTTCGCACATCCCCACCCCCTAGAATGTTCTTTCCTGGTCACTGCAGGCAAGTTGTTTTCGTCACTCAGGTCCTAGCCTGGAGGAACTTCTCAGGAGGGCTCCCTGACCACCTGTCTCAAAGTAGTCACCCTTCCTGACCTCACGGCCACCAGCTTTCTTGTCCTCCTGATCACTGGTTTCTTTGTTTCCATTTTGGGTTGTGTCTGTTTCCCACACTGGAGGGCAGCTAGTCTGCTTCCTCGCACCGCAGGCCACAGGTGTTAGCCCAGATCCTGGTTGGCCTGGGACTAGGTTGAGCCCCGACCGCCTGCCCCCCTCAGCGCCCCAGGCAGATGACCTACGTGTTGTTGGCCTCTCTTTCCGCAGCCGTCTCCGCAGCCACGCTCGCCTGCTGCTTGGTGATGAGCTCCACCCTCTGACGGCAAGCGCGCAGCTCTCCTCTGAGAACAAGCCAGAATCTGGATGAGTGGCTGTCCGGAGCGCGGCCTCTCCGCAAGCTCTCCCCAGGGGCCTCTGACTGTTCCCCATCTTCAGAAAACGACAGTGGGGTTCAGGGCAGAGTGGGGCCTTTCCCTCCAGCTCCCCTTGCCTAGGCTGGGGACACGGTCATCTGTCCCCCTCGCCCAGGCCAGCGGCTGAGGTCACGTCATCTTTCCAGGGATTTCTCTCCCACCATCAGGTTGCATGATCACAGTGTTGGACATCTGGTTTCTGAAAACCCCCTGGGTGACCTCAGCCCAAATGGGAATGAGCATGAAACGGCAGAAAGGAATGAGCGCAGGCCTGTCAAGGGCAGAGGGGAGAGCCCTGGGGGCTGTGCACAGGGCGCACAGCTGTAGCCCCTCCTCGGTGACCCAGAACTCACAGACCCATCAGGACCACCAGCCAATGTGTGGGCCCGGACAGATCCCAACTCAAAATTCTAGTTCCTGTGATCAGCACAACCAAAGCAGCTCCAAACCACGTCCGGGGGACGCGCAGGAGCTGCACGGGACGGGCGCACGCTGCGGCGAGGACTCCGTCTCCTTAGGGGAAGTAACCGAGCAGAGGTTCTGCACAGGGTGTTTCTGTGTTTTTAGTATTTAGGAGTAAGGTATTGCGATTTCCGCAGTTTGCTGGCTAACAGCTGAGCAAAAAGAAATCACATGAACGGAGAAAGAAGGGACCGGAGAAAGCGATCCGCGGCGCACGAGCGACAGCTACACCCATGCCCAAAAGTTTCCAACTTTTCCGCAGGTTCGAACTTTTCTGCACAGACACCGGGGGAGCACGCGGAAGCGGGAGGGGCCTGTGGAGCGGGAGGGGCCTGCAGGGGCGGCGCCGTCCGCCGGAGGGCAAGCCCCACGCAGGCAGGCACCAGCCCGGCCGAGGCCCGGCGGGAACAGAGAGGGCAGCCTCTGCAGCTGCACGCGCCGCCCAGGACGCAGGAGGAAGCCTGTGCATCAAGGACGGCCAGGGTCCAGCGGCGGGGCCTGTGGGGTCGGCGGGGTCAGAGGGCTGGGCCGACGCCTCCAGGACCGGGGTTGCCCCGCCCACCGCCTCTCCCACTGCTCGCCACGCCCACCCCCTCTCACCGCCCCAACCCCAGCTCTCCCCGCCAACCATCGGTGGCTCCACCCACAACTCCCCCAAGGGGGGGGGCACCCTGCCCCGCCCACCACCGCTTTCTCCCCATGGCCCCGCCCATCACCGCTCGCCCCGCCCATCACTCACCACGCCCGCCGTTGCTCCCCCCAGCTCCGCCCCCCCCCTTGGTTTTCTTTTCTTTTTAAATTTATTTGAGAGAGAGAGAGAGAGAGAATAAGGGGGCGGGGTGGGAGGAGGGTCAGAGGGAGAGGAAGAAGCAGCCTCCCGCTGAGCACCCAGCACCCAGTGGGTGGCCCTGGAGCAGGTGGCGGGCGGGTCCCTGGGCCAGTGGGGGACGATCCTAGGACCCCAACATCACGCCCTCCCCTGAGGAGCCACCCCAGCGTCCCTCACCTGGTTCTCTGGACGCAAAGCTCCTTCTCCCGGCGCAGCTCCTCTAGGCGGCTCAGGGTCCTCCGCAGCCCGCAGGCCCGCCGTCCGTCTGGGGGGGCCGCCCTCGTCTCCTGGGCGCCGGCGCCAGCCTTGTGCCCCTGCTCGGGGCTGAACGTGGAAAGGCCGCCGACTGGCCTTGAAGCGCAGCCCCACCTTCCCGCCGCGGCCGCCCGCGCAGGCTGCGGGGAAGCTGCCCCCCCACCCCCACCCCGGGCTCTTACCCAGGCCGTGGCGCGCCAGCTCCCTTCCCGGCTTCTGGAGGAGGAAGTTCAACCGCAAACTCCGGGGCCTCTCGTTCTAGAAATCGAGGCAAGAGAAAAAACAAAGAGCAGAGAAAGTCATTCAGGTCCAAAGCCCTGGGGTAAACCCAGACCGGCTCACGCCGGCGGGCACAGAAGCTGCTGGTGTCTCAGAGCAATGGTTCTCCGAGTGTGGCCCAGGGAACCCCGGTGGGAGTGCCACAAACCCTTGCAGAATGTCTGCAAAATCAAAAACCATTTTCCTAACAACACTAACACATCATTTGCCTCCTTCATTCTCATTTCCTAAGTGTACAGCGGAGTTTTCCGAAAGGTCTCATGATACATAGTATCACAACAGGCTAACATAGATGCGCGTGTGAGAATCCGCCATCTTCTGACAGACCAGATTCTTTCTGTTACATAGAACAGGTTCAGTTTTGCTAATTTAAGTGAATAAATACAAACAATTTTCAGCTTTAATATTTAATACAGTAAATATTAAAAGATATAATCAACATAAAAGCTCTTTGGGTCTTCAATAATTTTTAAGAATGTAAAGGGATTCTCTGACAGAAAAGTTTAAGAAATATTGTCTTAGAGAATCTCTGTAGACTTCCAGCAAAACATGGCCAATGGAACCATCCAATAGCACATATCACCACTCCTTCATTTACTCTCAGTGGAAATGAGAGGAACTAAAAAAGGCATCAGTGCAAATCACAGGGAACATGGGAAAGAGAAGACAAGAAAACCCTATACAATTTTAGCAGATGGAAAGCTGGGTACTGATTTACCTCACCATATCCCACCATACTCACCTCACAACTCCTCACCTTACCATACCTCATCTCACCTCAACTAACCTTACCATACCATACCTGACATCACCACACCTACCTCACCTCACCTCACCATACCTCACTAATCTCAACTCAACTTACCTCACCTCACTACACCATACCTCACCTTATCTCACCACACCTCAGCTCACCTCACCATACCTCACCTGATCTCCTCTCATCTTACCTCACCTTACCTCACTACATCACACCCCACCTTATCTCACCTCTCCTCACCTCACTATACCTTACTTCATATCACCACACCTTACCTCACCATACCTCACCTAACCTCATCTTAACTCACCTCACCTCATCTTACCTCACCATACCTTACCTCAGTATCACCACACCTTACCTCACTTCACCAAACCTCACCTTATCTCTCAACTCACCTTACCTCACTTCATCTCACCAAACCTTACCTCATATCACTATACCTCACCTAATACCACTTCAGGTCACCTCACATCAACACGCTTCACCTCACCTCACCTCACCACAATACACCACAACTCACCTCATCTCACCATACCATACCTCACAACAACTCACTTCATCCTACCACATCTCATTATGCCTCACTTAACCTCACAACACCATACCTCACCTAAACTCCTCACCTCACTGTACTACACCTCGCCTCATCTCACTACACCTCACCTCAACTCACTTACCTTACCTCACCATATCTCAGTAATTTCAACTCAAGTCACCTCATATCACCCCACCTCTACATACTTCATCTAATCTCACCTCACCTCATCTCACTTCACCATTCTTCACCTTACTTCACTTCACAATACCTCACCCAATCTCACCTCAACACACCTCACCTCAACATACCTCACCTCACATTTCTACACCGCACCTCATCTTTTCCTTATCTCACCTAATCTCACCTCAACTCACCTCAGTTCATTTAACCACACCTCACCTCAATCACCATACTTTACCTCACCTCACTATATCATAACTACTTTATCTCACCACCTCACCTCACCTCATCATACCTCACCTTACCACAACGTACCTGACTAAAACTCACCACACCACAAACCATACCACACCATGCCTATCCTCACCTCAATTACCATACCACATCACTTCATACCTCACCTGACCTCATCTGACCTCACCAAACCTCACCTCACCACACCTCACCTCACCATACAACTCACCTCATCTCACCTCACCATACCTCATCTGACCAAACCTCACAACACCACAAACCATACCACCCCACGTCTCATCTTATCTAATATCACCATACCACACTCCACATGACAGCTCACCTCATCTCACCAAATCTCACATCACCACACCTCCCCTCATCTCACCATACTTCACCTCACCTTATCTCACCTCAGTTTACTTCAGCTGATCTCACCACACCTCACCTCACCTCACCATACTTCATATACCTCACATCAGCTCACTTCACTCTATCACATTTCACCATACCTCACCTAATCTCATCTCATCTTACCTCCGCTACCCACACCTCACATCACCACACCTCACCTCATCCCACCACACCTCAATTCACCTTGCCTCACCTCACCATACCTCACCTTTCTACACCTTACCTCACCTTACCACACAACTCATCTCATTTCACCATGCCTTACCTCACCTCACCTCACCATACCTCATATCACTTCACTTCACCCAGCACACCTCATCATACCTCACTGCACCACAACTCACCTTACCAGACCGCATATTACCTTACCATACCATACCCCACCTCACGCAACACCACACCTCACCTCACCTCACCAAACCTCACATTAATGCCCCTCACCTCACCTCACCTCACCATACCTCACCTCACCTCAGCTCAGCTCACTTCCACTCACCTCACATCAACTCTCCTCAACTCATCTCATCTCACTCCACCTGGTATCATCCCATCTCACCTCACCATGTCTCACTTCACCTTGCCTCACCATGCCTTGCCTTACCGCACCTCGCCTCATCTCACCTCATATCACTTACTGCACCACATCTTGCTTCTACCCACCACACTTCACTTACCTTGCCTCACCACATCTCACCTCACCAAACCTGACAATACCACAAACCACACATCACACCATACCTCACCTCACCTCAACTCACCATACCACACCACTCCACACCTCATCTTACCTCACCTCACCTCACCACACCTCTCCTGACAATACCTCACTACAACTCAACTCCCCTCATTTCACCTCAACTCATTACACCTCACAACACCACAAACCACACCACACCATACCTCACCTCAACACACCCTGCCTCACCACACTTCACCTCACCAAGCATCACCTCACATTACCACACCTCACTTCACATCCCCGTATCTCACCTCATCTTACCACACTTCACCTCACCTAATCTCTCTTCAGTTTACTTTAGCTATTCTCACCACACCTTACCTCACCTCGCCACACCACAACTCACCTCATTTCACCAGACCTCACCTCACCACACTTCACATACCTCTCATCAGCTCACTTCACCCTACCACATCTCACCATAACTTACCTCACCATACCTCACCTAATCTTATCTCATCTTACCTCCGCTCACCACACGTCACATCACCATACCTCACCTCATCTCACCATGCCTCAGTTCACATTACCACACTTCAGCTCATCTCCCACACCTCACCTCACCCAACTTCACCCCACCTCACCTCACCATACCTCACCTAATCTCACCTCAACACACCTCACCTCATATTACCACACCACACCTCACCTCACCTCACCACACCACAACTCACTTCATCTCACCACACTTCACCTACCTCATCTCACCTCACCTCACCATACCTCACCTAATCTCACCTCACCTCACCTCATCTTACCTCACCACATTTTACCTTGCCTCACCTCACCTCACCATACTTTACTTCACCTCACCACATCCCACAACACTGCAAAGCATGCCACACAACACCATGCCTCACCTCACCTCATCTCATTATATCACACCACATCTCACTTCACCCACCTGACCACACCTTACCTCACCAGAAACTACCCATGACAGCATCCTCACCTCATTTCCCATCACCATACCACACGACTCCACACCTCACCACATCTCACCTCACCACACCTCACTTCATCTCACCTCACCACACCACACCTCACCTAATCTCACCATATCTCACCTTAACTCACCTCACTTTACCACACCTCACCTCACCTCATTTCACCTCACCTAATCTTACCTCAACTTACTTCACCTTATCACACAACTCATCTCATCTCACCTTACCATACCTCACATCAGTTCACTTCACCCTAGTGCATCTCACCATACCTCATCGCACCCCACCTTACCTTACCTCACCATACCTCACCTAATTTCACCTCACATCTCATCTCACATCATCTCACCTCAACTCACCTTACCTCATTTCATCTCATCTCATCTCACCTCACACCTCATCTCACCCTACAACACTTCATCTCATACCACGCCACACCTCACCTCACCTAACCTCACATCACCATACCTCACTTCACCTTACCATACCTCACCTCATCTCACCTCACTTCTACTCACCTCATATCGACTTTTCTCAACTCATCTCATCTCATCTCACCTCACCATGCTTCACTTCACTTGGCCTCACCATGCCTCACTTTACCACACCTCACCTCATCTCACCTCATATCACTTGCACCACACCTTGCCTCTACTCACCACACTTCACTTGCCTCACCTCACCAAACCTCACAGTACCACAAACCACACCCCATCACACCACACCTCACCTCACCTCAACTCACCATACCACACCATTCCACACCTCATCTTACCTCACCTCACCACACCATTCCACACCTCATCTTACCTCACCTCACCACACCACACCTCACCTCACGTGACATCATCTCACTATATTTCACACCATCTTACCTCACCTCACATCACATCATGCCTCACCTCACCGGGCCTCATCTCACTACAGCTCACCAGACCTCGACTCCCCTCATTTCACCTCAGCTCACTACACCTCATCTCACCACACCTCACAACACCACAAACCACACCAGAGCCTGCCTCACCACACCTCATCTCACCAAGCGTCACCTCACATCACTACCTTACTTCACATCACCACACTACAACTCACCTCACCTTAGTCACCTCAATTCACCTTACCACACCTCACCCTCAGCTCACCATCCCTCACCACACACCCCCCCTCACTTCACCACACCACACCCCAACTCACATCTGACCTCACCTCACCATACCCTACTTCATCTTACCACACCTCACCTCACCATACCTCACTTCACCACACCTCACCATACCTCACCTCACCACACCTCAAATACCATGAACCACACCACACTATATCTCACTTTACCGCATCTCATCTCACCTCACCTCACCTCACAGCACCATACTGCACTCCACACTTCACCTCACCTCACCAAACCTCACATCACCACACCTCACTTCACCTCACCAAACATCACTAGCCCTCACAACACCACAAACCATTCCTCACCTCATGTCACCACAGGTCACCTCACCTCAAGCCCCCTCACCTCACCACACCACACCTCACCTCAGTTCACCATACCACGCCACACTGCACCTCATCATCTCACTTCGCCTCACTAACCTCACCACACCTCCCATCAGCCTGGCTTCCTCATCACTCCTTACTTTACCACACCTCACAATGCCATAACTCACCTCACTTCATCTCATTCTACCTCACCACACATCACCTCACCTCACCACATCCCACCTCGACACATCTCACTTGATCACCTCACCTCTCCTCACCTCATCCTACCTCATACCACCTTACCTTGCCTCACCTCACAATATGTCACATAACCTCACCTCACATCAGCATGCCTCATTACGTCTCACTTCAGTACTGAGAAAGGAGCCATGCTGGGGTTAGATGGGGGACCGAGGAACTTAGTCCGGGTTGGATTGTCCTGCCTGATGCCTAGCGCTAACCCAAATCAAAGCATGTCTTAGAAAACTGTGAGATTATCAGCGATTTTTTGGAGTCTAACAGCTTTCAGGGAAAGAAAACAAAAACAGGTCCTGTTCAAAGGACTGGGATGGAAATGGCTTCCCAGCTCTCAACAGAGATGGTCCAACCAGAACACCACGTGTGCTCCTTTCAGGATTCTCAGCCATAGTTTATCTTTCTGTCAACTAAAGACAGAAAAATGTAAGCTCCCTCTTTGAGAAAAAACATACAAGCTAAAACGATGTGGTCTCCCTGAAGACGAGGAATGAAGGGAGACCGTGAAGCGAATCACTCACCTTCGCTGCTGCGGAAACCGCGGCTGCCGGGGAGGATCTCACCGGCTCCTGCCGCCGGCCCGACGCCGCCCGGACGCGGCTTCGGCGGGGCCGGGACAGCGTCTTCTTCCATCTTGGGAAGCAGAAATTTTAGCTACAAACAAATGATTACAGTTACAGATGAATAAGGTCATAGTTTTCAAAAACCATAAATACTGGATTTCCTAAGAATTCTCAATTTCTCCTGTAAAAAGACGTTAAGAAAATGCACGAGCCGGAGCCTTGGAAAAAGCACTCGCAGCGCACGAACTCGCCCGCGGTCCTCCAACCAGGCCATGTAAAGAGCCCCTAAGTGTCAGCGATTTCAAGTCCCAAGTCCGGCCGGAGGGCACAGAAGTCTTAGGACACGCGCTGGGGAAGGTGCGGGAAGGGCCAGCGAGGCCGGGCAGCGGCGCGCGGCCGCCGCAGTCACCGGCGAGAAAGCACAGGGACGCGCCGCCGCACATGATGCCCCAAATCCAAAATCCCAACACCGAGTCGCGACCGGAATGACCCGGACGTACCACGGGAGCCAGAAACGCTTCTCCAGCTGTGCGCCGGGACCCGCGGGGACGCAGCCCGAAGCAAGTCCCGCACGCGCGCATCAGGGCGCCCGCACGCGCGCAGCCCCGACCGGACCCAAGCCAGCGTCCCGCACTGCGCCCGGGTCGCCGGACGGGATGACGCGGGGCCACACCGCACGTGGCTGCATCTCAGACACACGGCGGCGGGCAAAGGAGACGGACACGAAAGAGAACGAGGAGACCCGAGCGCGGGCTGCACTGTTCGTCCTCGGGGAGAGGTTCCAGGTTAAGGCAGGGGACGGGGCGGGGGCGGGAGCACCGCGGTGGCCCGCGACGTCCCAGGTCCTGCCGCAGAGGCGCTTCCCTGGGGGATGCGGTGATCAAAACTCACCCAAGCGCAGGTGCAGGACGCGCGGGGGAGCGTGGGGTGTGCGTTACAGCGCGGCTCAAGAGCGAGTCTTTGTTTTTAGGATCTTATTTATTTATTTGACAGAGAGAGAGCACCAGCAGGGGGGCAGCAGAGGGAGAGGGCGAGGCAGACTCCGCGTTCAGCCGGAGCCCGATGCGGGGCTCGATCCCACGACCCTGGGATCATGACCTGAGCCGAACGCAGAGGCTTAACTGACTGAGCCACCCAGGCGCCCCTCAAGAGCAATTCTTAGGAAATTTCAGAATATTCCTTACACTTCATCATTTGGGGAACGCTCGGAGCTCGTCTGTGTAGAACTTGATAGGGAACGTTGATTTTAAATGTTGATCTTACGTAGGAGATGCTAAAATTATAGACGAATTTGTTTCTCACTGCTTAATTTAGCACTTGCTTCAGAATAATTAACTGAAAAGTATTTTCAAAGCCTAATAACGTTTCCTGGACAAATCACGAGTAAGTCAGGGCTAGTAATCCATTTTTTGAAATGCCACAAAGAATCATGCGTTTCCCTTCTGAGAGGCAGAATTTTAAAGGATCTTGTAAAATGCCAACAATGTTCCTCCCGTTTGATAAAATCTGTTGACCTACTGGTCGGCGAATGGCCGAGCTCTTGGAAGGTCTGCACAAAGTGGAGGCATCTGTTCTGCTTCATGGCCATGACCTCCATGTGCTCATGGCAACGGAGTGTGACTGACCCCCTGGAGAATGAGTGTCTGAGCAGAGGTGGAACATCACAGTTTCACGGAAAACGAGTACATCATAGCGCTTTTTATACACTTTTTCTTTAATATTTTGTTTGTAAGTGATGCATACATCCGACGTGCGGCTTGAATTCACAGTCCAGACATCAAGAGTCGCGGGGCGCCCGGGGGGTGCAGTTGGTCAAGCCTCCTATTCCTGACTTTGGTTCAGGTCATGATCGCAGGGTGGTGAGGTCGAGCCCACGTCTGGCTCTGTGCTGGGCATGGACTCAGCTTAAGATTCTCTCTCTCTCTCTCTGCCATTCCCCAAGCCCTCTCTCCCTCTCTCTAAAAAAGGAAGAAAGAAAGAAAGAAAGAAAGAGAGTCACCGCTCCGCGGACTGAGCCAGCCAGGTGCCCGTCAACCACACACCCTCTGAATGTCCAGTTAAAAAGGGCACTTCTAGGGGCACCTGGCTGGCTCAGTGGGTTAAAGCCTCTGCTTTCAGCTCAGGTCATGATCCCAGAGTCCTGGGATCGAGCCCCGCATCAGGCTCTCTGCTCAGCAGGGAGCCTGCTTCCCCCTCTTTCTCTGCCTGCCTCTCTGCCTACTTGTGATCTCTGTCTGTCAAATAAATAAATAAAATCTTAAAAAAAAAAAGGGCGCTTCTAGGGGGCGGCCTTTGGCCCCTCTTAAATTCTCACTAAAACCACAGCAGAAGGATTCAGTTTTCCCAACACACGAGTCCATAAGAAACAGGCCAATGGGAGGAGACATCATTTGAACAAAACAGAAGCTGGGAGGCATGAGGATGTTATCGGCCCGGCTGGCAGGGGTGCGGACTGAACTTCCGGGGGAAAACTTGACACACGACGCCCCTGGGGCACAGCACCCACCGGTGAAAGGCCTAGAACTGGGCGCCGATGAAGTGGGGGTGGGGTAGAGTCTGAAACAGAGATTTGCTCAGATGTGCTGAACAAGCAGCTCGAAGTGCCTTCCCTGCTTCTGGCTGCACGGCCGCCCACGTCCCAGCCATCGCACGGAAAACAAGCAGAAACGCTGGGTGAAACTGTACTTTAATTGCCTTAAGAAGCTCGAAGAGTTGACTAGAAATAAGAAACCTTCAGGTCAAAATCTAAGTGAAGGCAAGCATATACACAGGTTAAATGGCCAAGGTTTGTATATAAATAAAAAGTCTCTTCTAAATTGGATGAAAAGAACAATAACAACGACCAAAAAATCTAACTGTACACTACCGAAGAGACATCTAGAACACAAGCCTGAGGGGGCCCCGGGCTTTATAATTCAGAGAGACGCGCTGGCCAGGAACTGTGAAGAGGAGGCCGGCGGTGTTATCTAGAAACACACGGAATCCCAGAGGCGAAAAGCAGCAACAGCCACGCAGGACGTCCGCACCCGATGTTCGGCTCCCAGAAGCCCACGCGCACCCACTAACTGGTCACAAAGCAAGCGGAGCACAGGTGGACGGAATGAGGAAAAGGTCAAGATACAGCTCTCATGGGCCACCGTAACACACTCTCTAACAAAACCAGGAGAGACAAGCTGTCAACGATGTGCACTTGGACAACGTCATTAGCAAACTGAGCCGACAGACACCCGGAACCCGGCAGCCACAGGATTTCAGGGTCCCCTACAGCGAACGCAGAACATTTATGAAAGCCGTGTCTTGGGCCCAAAACAGGTGCCAGTCAATTTCGAAGGCCTGGAAGGGTACACAGCTTTGTACGGAGTAGGGAACACAGTCAATCATGTCGTGATGACTTTGTATGGTGACAGATGGGGACAGGACACATCAGGGTAACGCTTTCACAAGGCAGGTGTATCTCAAATCACTGTGGTGCCCCCTGAAATGAACACAATATTGCACGCCAGTTACTCCTCAATAAAGACGATCCTAAAAACTTGTTCTCTGGCCAAAATTCATCGGCCCAAATCAGTAAGCAATAGAGAACTACTTTTAGAGAACTACTAGGAAACATACTTTTTAAGATTTATTTATTTTAGAAAGAGAGCGAAGGAGAGAGAGAGTGAGGGTATGGGCAGGGAAGGGGCAGGGGGAGACAGAGAGAGAGTCCCAAGCAGACTCCCCACTGAGCGTGGAGCCCAGTGCAGGGCTCGATCCCATGACCCTGAGATCAAGCTTGGAGCAGAGATCAACGGTTGGAGGCTTAACTGAGTGAGCCACCCAGGTGCCCCCAAGAAACATACTTCTAAATGACCCAGGGTCCAGGGAAAAACCGTCGTGGAAACGGTGCAATGAGTTACAGGACAGGAGAGTCGGGGACCAGCCACGCAGCTGGAGCCCCACCGACCTGCGGCCCCATAGCGTCTGTCGCGGAAAGGAGAACGGCAAACGGGCTCCACGTCCAGTTGAAGCGGTGAGCAAAGACCTGCCAGAGAAACCCAAAGAAAGTGCAAGAAAGAAGATGACAAAGATTAGAAATCTGCGCGACGAAAACAAATGTGAGAGAGAGGCCCCTGAAAACAGGAAGTTTGGATTTTTTAAAGATCTGCAAAACTGACAAATATAAAACATTACAAAGTAAAAAAAGTCAATCAACAACAACTTTATGCCAATAAATGTGAAAATTTAGACAATGGACAAGTTATTAGAAAAATAGTAGTAATCAAAATGGTTTGAAGAAAAGAAAAATGTTAAAGAATCCCACGAGCGTAAAAGAAACTCAATAGATAGACGGTCCCTTGAAGGGGGCTCGGGGCGCAGAGGCCGCCCTGCCAAGTTCTGGGAAACCCGCGAGGCATGCACACTGCTTCTGGGAAGCAAGGGCAGAAGGCCCACTCCCTGACTTACTTCCCGGAGCTCATGTCACCTTTGTCACCAAAGCCGGACAATGAAAGGGGAAGGGGGGGCAGCATCCCCCGCCTGATTCCCGCAGCAGCGCATGGACGCAACCTCGGTACCCCAGGGCCTGATTTCCCGCTAGAATCAGGTTAACTCACCGTGGGTGACAGACCGAAGGAAGGGACTTACATGATCGACTCGATTGATGTGGGGAAGTACTGATAAAATTCAACATCCCACTTCGCAATCTTCTACTGGACGCTGATTTCTTTAACGTGGGGAAGGCCGTTTGCAGGAAACGTCATGAGTTCTAAGCACAAAAAGCCACAGGACTGAGAACAAAACAAGGACGTTTGCTTCCACTCAGCGCCGCTGGGGCTCCCAGCCAGAACCCTCTGGAAGGAACACAAGGAGCTCAAAGTGGAAAAGTTCTCAGATCCCAGGACCGTGTGCGGAGCAATCCACCGGCACGCAGACATCCGGCATTAAGTAACGGAGACGATTTAGTGATGTCGTTCGACCTAAGTCCAGTCATAAAAACCAAATATATTTCTGTTCTTCAGAACGGAGGGAATGAGGTTTGGAAGAGATGCCGTGTGTTTTGAATTATACCAAGAAATACGAGGTACGTAAAACCGGACACAACAAAAGACGTGCAGATCCTCTCCGGAGAAGACACTGGAGGCTGACATTAAAGGAGGCCTCCAGCATACAGAAATGGAACAAATGATCCAAAACTTCAGCAAATGGATGTCAAGGCGGAAAAGAGGAACAGGGCGGCCGCTTTAAACCAAAAGAGACAAGTCGGTCACTTGTGGTGCGGGGTTCCTGTTTGCCCCCGGACTCCAGGAAGCAGCTGCAGACTTATTTTCCAGACGATGTGAAGTGAAGGCAGACTGGTGTTCGATTTTATCAAGAAATTCAGGTTAATTTTATTGGGATTGATAACGATTTTGTAGTTATGCCAAAAGGGAGTCTTCACTGGGAGAGCGGTAGTTACAGGTGGAAACACCCCACCTCGGCTGCTCTCTAGCCTCCCGCGGCCAGCAGCGTGGAGCGGGAGGCACCCAAGGGGACCGGGCCTGCGAGTCTGGGTCGCCCCTTCTCTGCCTTCCCGAGATCGCACTTTTCCACAGTAAAAGTGCAAAAAAAAGAACAAAGTCGGCATAAATGAATGAGTGTTCAGGTACTGCCAGTTCTCTCCAAACTGCTCTACAGATTCACGACCGCCCCACACCCAGCCGGAGCGCGCGGGCCACCAGCAGGCAAGGGCGCCCACCTCCGTCACGAGCCCAACGGCCGGGCCTTCCCCGCCGGGCCTCGGTTCCCTGCGGATGAAAGCCGCAGGCGGGAATGGCTGACCTGGGCCGCAGTGGAAGCTGGGGGCACAGGGCACTGCGGACATCAGCCACGAGAGGAGAAGCTGGGGCGGGGTCATGTCCATTTAAATTGAAAACTTTTGTTCGGAGAATGCCCAAAGGAGCCTCGAAGAGAAGTTACAAACCAGAAGACAAATTTGACACGTGGCCCAAAAGCTCTGCCGTCAGGAGCGTGTAAGGACGGTGCACGGGCCGCGAAGGGGCCGCTGGCGGCCAAGGAGCAGCATGTCAGCAGGGCCCCCCTTCACCCTCAAGCAGGCCCGGTCGGCGCGGGGCAGCCGCACTCCTGCGTGTCAGCGGCCCGAGTCCCGCCGGCCTCCCGCCGTGCTTCACGTGGTTCCCCGTAGCTCTCAACAGGATCCCGCTTTGGATAAGCTATTTGTCGGCGATCAACACACATTGCCCAGCCTCATTTGTAATTCTCAGTCGGTGAAGCATCTGCCCTAGGCTCAGGTCATGATCCCGGGGTCCTGGGATGAAACCCCATGTCGGGCTCCCTGCTCAGCGGGGAGTCAGCCCCTCCCCTCAAATACATAAAATCTTTTTTTGGAAAAGTAAAGTGAAAAAGTATATTCCTTTGTATCACTTTCCCATTGCTGCTGTAACAAGTTACTGCAAACCCAGTGACTTAACAGACTAATCGTGCTGGGATTCAGGTGGTCCGAGTCTGCAGTGAGTCTCGCTGCGTTAAAATCCAGGTGCTGCAGGGCCGCGTTCCTTTCTGGATTCCCCCACACTCCCCGGCTCAAGGCCCCATTCGACCATCTTCAAAGCCAGCAGTGTGAGCTACCGTCCCCCCCGGGCTCTCTGGCTCTCTCCCCTCTCCCGCCTCCCTGTCCCACTCCTGAGGACGCCTGGATAATCTGGGATCATGTCCCCAGCCCAGACCCCGCTGAACAAGCTGAATTCCCGTGCCACGTCGTCGAACATATTCCCAAGTTCCGAGGATGAGGTCGTGGTCGCCTTTGGGGGCCCGACTCTGCTTCCATTCTCTCTGACTCCGGGCTCTGCCCTGGGCGCGCCCTACAGACACGTGGAGATGCTGCATTACTGTCCTGGGAATGCCACCATCAGCGGAACACGAGGTGTCTCTGGGCGATGGAAATGTATTCTCTCACACTTGCAGAGGACAGGGACCTGCCATCGTGGTGATGGCAGCGCCGTGGTCCCCCTGAAGTGCTGGGAGAGCGTGTGTTCCAGGCCTCTCCAAGGTTCTGACAGTGCCCTGGCTTGCGGCGGGCTAACTCCAGCCTCCACATGGTGTTCTCCAGGGGCCCAGATCTACGTCCAAATACCTCCTTTTTATAAAGACACCTGTCGTAGGACCTCATCACAACGAATGACATCCCCAATGTCCCTATTTCCAAAGAAGGCCACATTCCGAGATCCTAGGGATTACGGCTTCAACCCATGATGTTTTCTCCTTGAAGAAACACAGTTCAACTCATCACATGCTCCGGCTTCGGGACACAGCAGGACCCTCCAGAGCAGCAAGGCTGGGAACAGCAGAGAGTCCGGAATCCCGCAGCAGGACAGCCGCAGGCACAGGGGTCCTCCTCTGGGTGCTCTGGGGTAGCGCGAGTGATCCACCGTGTGGCGCTGTGCTGCAGTGCCCCCTTGAACACGACCACCAGGGAAGAAGGTGCAAAAGGTGCCCCAGATTTGGCAGGAGAAGCAGGATCCATGGTGGCCTAGACAGGGGTGCTGAGGGGGGTGCCGGCTTGGGGCAGTTGTGGCCCCGAGCTGGATGTCAGGCGGGAGCAGGAGGAGGCTGCCCGTGGAGGACATCAGAGCCCTGGCCCGGCGGGGGTGGGGGTGTCACTGGGAGCCACCCAGCTCCAGCCTCAGAGGGATGACACGGCCACATAGCTTCAACGTATCTCCTGACACCACACGTGTAAATCACACAGGGAACGGCAGACGTCGGCAGAGAGCACGTTAATCTGGTGATCAAGGTGAAAGTCCCCGGTAACGTGACATGGCCCACTGTGAGCCGCCCCACAGGCCGGAATGGGCAGAAAGTGGCGCATAAGTCCTGTGACTCTCCTGCCAAGGACGCATGATGCAAACCTCATCTGGGGAAACATCAGACAAGCCCACATCAAAGAGCTTCTGCAGACCCACCTGCAGCCGTCAGAGGCGGCATCCTGAATGCCCAGAAAATGCAAGGGACGCTGAGGGCCAGACGCCGCAGACACACAAGGACTGCGGAGTGCAACGTGTGATCCCAGATGGGATCCTTTCCCTTTCGTGGCTTTCTGGGATCAGCTGTCAAAAGGTGCTTAACGGTGGTGGTGACACGTCCGTGAGTGTCCTTTGATGGCCCTTCTGAGGTCATGTGGGAGAGCGCCCCGCACAGTGTGGCTCGGTCGGAAACCATCCCGTAAGTGACTTCTCAAATGGCTCAGGAAAAGACAATTTTGGGGCTGAACTTGCAACTTTTATGTAAACGTGGGGTTGTTTCAAAAATTAAAGAAGAATATATATAGTATTATTCCATTTATATGATATTCCAAAGTCAGTGAAACTTAATTATGGTGCTTAGGAATGCGTACACGGGGGGGTGCACCTGAAGAAAAGCCAGGAAATGAGAATCACAACAGCCAGCCCGGGTCTTGGGGGTGAGTGAGGTCTGCCGGCGGGAAGGGAAGGGCGGATTGACTTACCCTGTGGACATGGTTTTATTTCTTGACCTGGGTAGTTGCTACTGACGTTCACTTTATGTGTGTACGTGTATATGTATGTGTATGTGTGTCTACAGGCATGTATATGTGTATGTGTGTGCATGCATGTATATATGCATGCATGCGTGTGTGTGTGTGTGTGTGTGTGTGTGTAACTTTTTCCTGATGTTCACTTTAGAACCAGTCTGCGCCGGGTGCGCGGGCGCGCGCGTCCACCTGCCCAGAGCACCTGTGAGGGAATTCCGGGCACCTGGCGGCCCAGCCGGGCGGTGCGGACTCCGTACCTGGCGCAGCGCCTGGCTCAGCGCGGACGTGCAGGGAAGGGTGCGAGGAGAGGACCAGCAGCTGGTGGGAAACACAGCAGGAGCCCCTCCACTGCCCAAACTGGGCTCCCTTTGAAAAACCCAATAGGGGCGCCTGGTGGGGGCTGCTCGGCCGGTTAAGCGTCTATTCGGGTCAGCTCATGATCCCAGAGTCGCCGGATAGAGCCCGGCATGGGGTTCCCTGCCCAGCGGGGAGTCTGCTTCTCCCTCCGCCCCTCCCCCCGCTCGTTCTCTCTCTCTTTCACATGAATAAATAAATAAATAATATATTTTTAAAAGTAAACTTAAAGAAGAAAGAAAAGCCCAGGGGGAGGACTCGGGGCTCCCTTCCTCCGCTGGGCTCCCCAGCCGGGGTCCCCCCAGCTCTGCTCAGGGCTGGCACTGCGGCGCCGCGACCCCAGTGAGGCCCGCAAAGTCGGGCGGACCAGCCCCAGGGCCAGGGACTCCGCGAAAACCACCGGGGGCGAGACCCGCTGCAGCAGGTGCCTGCCCGGCCGAACCCGGACTCCGGGGCGAACGGACCCACCTCTCTGTGGCCCGCCGGGGGTCGCAGAGGCTCCTCCGCGGGCGCTCCCAGACCTGGGCCGCGGCGTCGAGGGCGGCGGGCGGCTCCATGGCGACGGGCGGCTCCACGGGCCGGGGTGGGGCTCGCCCGCCGCGCGCACCCCTGCTCGGGCGATGGTGCGGTCCGGGGCGCCCCCGCGCAGGCGCAGTGCGGCCGGGGCGCGGGCGGCCCGTGGAGGGTCCCGGAGCGGATCCCGCGGCTCGGTGGACGCGGGAGCGCGCGGGGCCGTAGCTGGGGGTTTGGCCCAAGCAGGCCCGGGGGCAGCTTGGTTGTCCACCGAGCGAGTGTCGTGCTCGCGCCGACGGGGCTTTCCCGCGGGCGTCGTAGGCCGGGACTGCGGGCTCCATGTGCGGGCCGCGCCGAGCCGCGCGTCCCCCTCCCCAGCCCTGCCCGCGGTCCCCAGCCCCGCTCTGTCGTGGGACGACCGGCCCGGCCGGAGCGCGTATTTGCAGCGCAGACGTGGGGGTGCGACGAGGGCCTCTCGGGCCAGGCCCGGCGGGGACCCGGGAGTGAGTGCGGCGCAGCCCAGCCCTCGCCGAGCGCCGCGCGCCACGGCACCCGACGTCGAGGTGCCTCCCGGGGCCGCAGCGAGTCCGCGAAGTGCTTGGTTTCGCGCGGGAAACCGTCCACCGGGGTGGCCGCCGAGCCCTGCGCACAGCGCCGGGGAGGCGGGAACCGCGCGCGTTAGCCGTGGCCCCGCGCGCGTCCGCGGTCATCGCCGGGTCGCGGGTGCGGGTCTCTGCGCTCTGAAGGCTGGGCCGGAGGAGCAGAGCCGCGGCGCCCCATCAGCCCACGGTCGCTTCCCTAGCAGAAATCACAGTCCTCCCGCCGCACGCCCTCCACCAGGCTGCTTCTTCCCCGGCTTGCCCGCCGGCCTTTGCGTATCCACAACCCTCCGTGCACTGTCCACGGCAGAAGCGGAGGCTGGCGGAGGGCTGCGGAGCCCCAGCCGAGCCGCAGTGAAGACGGGAGGACTGTCCTGTCTCCCCATGGAGTGATCTTCAAAACCTACTGTGAAGGGAAAAAAGTGGTGGAACGGGGTGTGTCTTACTAAGAAGGGGCAGAGGCGCTAAGAACATCCAGGTACATGTACTTCCTGGGGGTCACGGAGAAACAGTTACCAGCCAGGGTCAGAAAGGTGAGCTCCGCGCGGAAATGACATTTCTCTGAATGCGCTTGTCCCTTTGGCTATGGAGCTGTGTGACCGCAATGCCCAAAACAAGTCAATTCCTAAAAATTGGAAACAAAATGAAACAAATGAACCTAACTGTATGTCAGGTATTAACCTTACAGAAAAGAATTCAAGTGACTTTAGAACCCAACAATTTGATCGTACTTAACTAGTAAGGGCAAAAAGAGCTCCAGAGAACGCTCGGGGTGTTTGCAGTGGTCCTGGCCTTGGTAACGGCATTACCATCGCCCTTCCGGAAGTGCGTGAAGGGAGATACAGGAAGTAGGTGGTATGGGAATATTAGGAACCAACATTTTAACTTTGGGAGAAGAGATAGGAATGTAAGATAAGTTAAAACTGTAATCTTGGGTGCCAATGGGAAATATTAGTATGAATTAATAGAACTTAAAAAATGTGTTTCTGGGGCACTGGGTGTCTCGTTCAGTTCAGCCTCAGACTCTTGATTTCAGCTCAGGTCATGATCTCAGGGTTGTGCGATTGAACTCAGTCCAGCTCTGCGCTGCACGTGAAGCCGGCTTAGAATTCTCCATCTCCCTCTGCCCTTCTGCCCCTGCTTGCACACTCTCTCTAAAAATAAGTAAATATGTAAATAACAAAAAAAAATTACTTCTGGGGCGCCTGGGTAGCTCAGTGGGTTAAGCGTCTGCCTTGGGCTCAGGTCATGATCTCAGGGTCCTGGGATCAAGCCCCACATCGGGCTCTCAGCTCCGTAGGGAGCCTGCTTCCCCCCCTCTCTCTGCTGCCTCTCTGCCTACTTGTGATCTCTGTCTCTGTCAAATAAATAAATAAAATCTTAAGAAAAAATTACTTCTTAGTTCTGTCCACTGAAAGGGTCTAGAACCATCTGATACGGTAGCCACTGGACATATGTGGCTATTTCAATGTAAAATTATTATTTTTAAAAAAGATTTTATTTATTTATTTGACAGACAGAGATCACAAGTAGGCAGAGAGGCAGGCAGAGAGAGAGGAGGAAGCAGGTTCCCCACCGAGCAGAGAGCCTGATATGGGGCTCGATCCCAGGACCCTGGGATCATGACCTGAGCCAAAGGCAGAAGCTTTAATCCACTGAGCCACCCAGGCGCCCCTCAATGTAGAATTAATTAAAATTAAACACTTGAACAGATATTTGTACACCAGTACAAATTGAAACTTCCATTCCTTGGAGTACCCGGCTGGCTCAGGCTGTGCAGCATGCAACTCTTGATCTTGGGGTCGTGAGTTCAAGCCCCATGTTGGGCATGCAGCCTACTTTAAATTAATTAAAAACAATTAAAAAAAATAAATAAAATTCCATTCCTTGGTTGCAGTAGCCACATTTCACGTGCTCAGTGGTGCCGTGTGGCTAGCAGCTGCCCTATTAGAGAGCAAAGATATAAAAAGTGCCTGGTTGGGTTGCACAGTCTAGAAATAACCACCAGCTCAGTAGCAGTGAGCGCTCTCAGCAGCCAGCTTGTTGTCCTTGCCGCTATTCCTGGTAAAAGAAACCACAGCTTCTTAGAAAAATGACTGATATCAGATCTAAGGCAGAAAACACAACATGATCTTGGAGCATCTTATCAACAGAAAGCAAGGGAATTACTAACGAGTCCAGCATTGTGTCAGAGGACTTGTTAGTCAATGTGGAGATGCTCCCATTGGCCAAAGTAAGGACAATTTGAGTATCAAAAAAAAAAAAAAAAAGTAAATACAGTGGACTGAAGCACAGCAAATATGTTAACATCCATGAGTTCACTTAAAAAAATAAAATCCTCATTGATCCTTTTATTTTTTCATTGATCACTTTTGAAGGCTGCTAGGATGCTGTGTCACCATTCTGGAAACCGATGAAGCTTCCGTGGCAGAGCTCGGCTTTGATCTCCCTTCGAGAAAGGATTTGCATTTAGCCAAGAGGACTTCAGCAGCGCTGTAGTGGAGCTGAGTTCACTCTCTTTCTGGGTGGTTCCTGGTCAATGATTGACCATGGCAGGGGCTCTAGGTGGCTTTAGGTGGGCCTTCAGCCCTGGGGCTCCTCTAATGGATAATCTCTGCTCCAGAGTTCTCCACCCCCTTCCCTCGGATCGGCCAAAACTTTGTCGGGTTTGCATCAGAGTTAGGTTCTCCCTGCCCAATTCTGCTTCTCGGTGCTTTCCATCCACGGGCTTCAGCTCAGTATTGCAGTCTGTGGTTTCCTCAGCCCAATTTTGCTCCACCCCCCAACCCCCATCTTTCACAGGCATGAGCTCCCAGTAAATCTCTTGTATTCTGAATGCCATGTCATAATCTGCTTACTGGAGGACACACATTAATAGTTGGTAGCAGGAGTGGTCTGACATAGTAGATACTAAGAGGGGGAGTTGTAACTAGATCACTCACTGCCCAACTGGCAGTGAGTATCCCATCCTGGGTCAAACGTGGATGCCTTGAACAAGGTGGTATCCCACTGATACAATTTTCACAAATAATAAGTTGGGAGAACAGTGGTTGGTACAGTGATTGAGAAGGACGTGTGTTTGGGAGGATGAAGGAGATACATACAAGAACAATACATCTCAGGGTTGTGAGCTCAAGCCCATCTTGGGCTCTGCACCCAATGGTGATTCTGCTTGAGATTCTTTCTCCCTCTTTTTTGCCCCTCCTGCTCACACTCTCTTTCTCTCTCTCTCTCTCAAATAAATAAATAAATCTTAAAGAAAAAAAAAAAAAAGAAGAAGAAGAACAGTACAATGATCTGGCTGCAGAGACATCCTACAGAAAAATATGCGAAGATGGAGATAGTTAACAATAATTGAAACCAAGTGTGTTGACACCAAAAGCAAAGGCAACAAAGCAAAAATAAACAAGTGGGACTATATCAAACTAAAAAGCTTGTGCGCAGCAAAGGAAACCATCCACAAAATGCAAAAGCAACCTTCTGAAGGGGAGAAAATATTTGCCCATCATGTATCTGGTAAGGGGTTAATATCCAAAATATATTTTAAAAAAACCAAAACCCATACAATTTCATAGCAAAAACTCCAAACAATCCAAATAAGAAATGGGCAGAGTATCTGAACAGGCATTTTCCCAAGGAAGACAAAGACATCCAGATGGCCAACAGGTCCATGAAAAGATGGCAAGTATCACTCATCATCATGGACATGCAGATCAAAACCACCATGAGATATCACCTCATACCTCTCAGAATGGCTACTATCAAAAAGACAAGAAATAGGGGCGCCTGGGTGGCTCAGTGGGTTAAGCCTCTGCCTTTGGCTCAAGTCATGGTCTCAGGGTCCTGGGATCGAGCCCCGAGTTGGGCTCTCTGCTCAGCAGGGAGCCTGCTTCCCTTCCTCTCTCTCTGCCTGCCTCTCTGCCTACTTGTGATCTCTCTCTCTGTGTCAAATAAAGTCTTAAAAAAAAAAAAGACAAGAAATAACAAAGAGTTGACAAGGATATAGAGAAAAGAGAACACATGTGTGCTTTTGGTGGACATGTGAATTGATGCAGGCACTATGGAAAACAGTGTAAAAGTTCCTCAAAAAATTAAAAATAGAGGGGCGCCTGGGTGGCTCAGTGGGTTAAGGCCTCTGCCTTCAGCTCCGGTCACGATCCCAGCGTCATGGAATCAAGCCCTGTATCTGGCTCCCTGCCTGTGCAGGGAGCCTGCTTCCCCCTCTCTCTCTGCCTGCCTCTCTGCCTACTTGTGATCTCTCTATGTCAAATAAATAAATAAAATCTTTTTAAAAAAATTAAAAATAGAACTACCTTGACTCTCAGTCAAGGTAGCTTTGCAATGCCAAGGTCAGGGCCTGGTTGAAAAAACCTCCACACATGGGATGGGTATATCTGGGTGGGTGCCCCTAAAGACTTTGGCTCCCTGGGCTTTTCTGAAACATCAGAAACTGTGAGGTTTGCTCACCCCAACCACTAAGGGAAACACTAGGACTCCTTTCTTATGGGAAGACACTGTAGAGGTTTCAAAAACAAGGCAACAAGGTCCTTCCAGTATCTGCGCTCTCCCCATGCCCCCCTCCGCCCCCATTACCAGGCTGGCAACCAGGGATAAATTGTAGCATAGTCTCATTACATACATGCTGGACCTAGTAAGAAAGAACCGTGTGTGGAAACAACAAAGCCTCACTAAAATGTAGCTGGGAGGCTCAGGGGAGAGGACGCCCTCCGGCCCCCCCACTCACCAACTGCTGACCCAACAAGAAGAGGACTCTGCAAGTGGGTGTTACTTCCACTACCCCCAGCAGGAGGAAGAGAGGCTTTCCTCGTCTGCCCAGCAACAGCCCAGCCAATGAGAGACTGTCACAATGTAGCCAATGGGAGACAGCCACAACTTAGCCAATGAGAAATGGTCACAATTTAGCCAATGAGAAATGGTCACAATTTAACCAATGAGAGACTGCCACAACCTAGCCAATAAGAGGCTGTCACAATTTAGCCAAGGAGGGACTGTCATAGCCCAGCCAATGAGAAGACTACATTCAAATTCCTAGTTTGCTCCAAGGGCTTTCTGCTTGTAACCACCTCTCCGCTGTCAAAGAGCCGTTCTTTCTTTGTTCTCCGGACTCAGTGATTGTTTTCTGCTGTGACTTGCTTGTGCGGGTTGCCTTTCTCTTTTGTT